GTATGTTCTAATGGGAAACAGGCTTCAACACAAACGGTTGTTTTCTGCTTGGTCCTAGAGCTCAACCAGTGTCAATTTAATATAGCGTAATATTGTTTTTGGATGGTAAAAAGTGCAGGGGTCAAAACTCGACTTAGGAAAAAGTGGGGGGGGGGACATGTCCCCCCTGTCCCCCCCCCCCCCCCCCCCAAATTACGTCCATGCTTGTGTGGTGACCTGGTGTATTTGTCTAGTCAGTGGAACTTGTTTGAGAGGCTGGATTAAAAGTGCATCATATATTTGCATGTCTTCTTCTGTAATGTAGTGCAACTGAATGGCCCTCAGACTGTTTGAAACCTTTTCAAGGAATGTCTTTCCATCGGTCAAGTCATTTCCTCCAAGTCCCAGGCTGTCTGCAGTTCTTTTCGCTGTTACACCAATGCCATCTGGGACACCCTTACCATGGGAAGTGGGGAAGAAGTTCCATGTTGCTCTTTCAAATCCAAGTGTAGATGGGATACCAGACAGAAAATAAAAATTCTTCTTGTTCTTATACTGTTTACTTGGACCATCTGACCAAAAGTGTACAGTGGTAATGTGAGCATATTTCATCTTGATAGTTTTCAGAACTGGATCCATACGTGTCCAGATTGCTGAAGCATCCTGTCTTTTTGACTCTGAAACTGTGCAAAATCCAGCCTTTTCCCCTTGATGTGATACATTCCAGTATGCAGGGTTATCTGAGGAAGAGTTTGTCCAAAATGGCAGGCCTGAACTTCTGACTGATATTTGCATCTCCAGGATTCTGAGAAGTCAACATGGACAATAGCTGTACATTCATCACAGGTCTCTATTGTGTTTCTATATGCCAGTGGTTCCCAAACTTATTTAGCCGCGCACCCCCTTCTATGTCCCGACCATGTCGACGCACCCCCCCCCCCCCCCCCCCCCCACATCGGGGCATGGCTCTCTCTCTCTCTCTATATATATCTATATCTATATATATATCAGATGTCAAGCTAAACAGACAGGGTTAAAAAAAATCCCCATCACTTTCATTTTTTAAATAGTAATTAATAAACATTCGATACCATTACAATTTCCTTTGATTTCATTTTAAATAAATATTTAGAGTGCCCAGGTAGCACATAAAAAATGCAATTTAACTGTTTTCTTAAAGTAGGAACGTTTAACCTGTGCGGCCAGAGCGCTCTCCTTCCTTCTGCTCTGCGTAAACCTGAGCTGATCACCTACATGTGCGTAATCAAATGTCAATAGGGGACAAGATATAGCCATGATGTTCATTTTTGCCTCAGACCGACTTATTGCTGTTTTATGGTGTGGCTGAATCTGCGATCCGCTGTCATGTGGACTGGAATAACAAATGCTGCAGTAACATGAGATGTGGTCAGGTTCATGAGGAGTCACTGGCTGGAGCGGACCCGACTCATCCCAGAAGCTAGTATCTTAATTTGACCTTGAATGAAAAATAACCTCTTAAAAGTTTTTATCGTGGTGGAGGCAGCGTTCATTTCTGCCGTCAGTCTGACGGCGCGCCGGAGTTAAAGCAGCGTGCGCGCTTATTGAATCTGTGTGTGCGCGCGCGGCACAGCCGCTCAAGTCACCGCTTCTCGTTATTGGCGCTATTTAAACTTCTGCCCAGCCCAGATGTGCTCACATGTGCACCCGTGAGCCGTGGTTCAGCCGGAACGCGTCTGACCTCTGACAGACGCACTCTGAACTTCAGATCTTCAGCGCGCTGTTAATAGCCTGAATGGGAATCATTTCTTGTTATTTAGTTACATCCACAATGTTCTGTGTGTGAGGTTTACAATGTCAGAACACCTGCATGAGACAGGTGTTAATTACAATCTGCCAGAATGACTCGCCACCTTCAGATTCCTCCAACACCGTTAAAAATGATCAAATACGGAACATATCAGCGTGCGCAGGCCAGAGTGCTGAAGCTCGGCGCATTGTTATTATGAAGCTAGGGCACATGTGGAGGACACGCGTGCACAAAAATATACTTGTTTTCAATTACATTTATTGTGCCCACACTTTTTCTTTGGCCCACCCACAAATGAGTTTCTACACTAATGGTGACACATGACAGACTTCTCTGAGCTCCGCAGCCATTACACTTTTCACCTCACGCACCCCCTAGCGGCAGCTCACGCTCCCCCAGGGGTGCACGCACCACACTTTGGGAATCCCTGCTATATGCATTTGATTGGTTTAGCACTAAACACACATGGGTTGAGGTCTCTTTTATGAGTTTTTGCCCATAGAGTTTGATAAGCTTTGACAGACTACCACTGTGTTGAACTAGCTTAATGTTGATATGACTTCCATTGGCTGTGTTTTCTTCAGCTCTTTCCCACTGCTTCCACTGAACTTGATTTTGTCTTGCTCTTGGGATGGAATGGTACTTTTATTTACACATCGTGAACAGGTGCGAAGAAGACAGGCCTCACTTGCTGGTGAGCAGCAAACTAATTGAAAACTGTCCTCCAGTTTGTTTGACTTTACAACACCTCTTGATCTAAGAACCTCGAGCATTAGGCGTGCGTTTTCATGCATCTGACACAGACATGTCTTCCTATCAGATGTTTTTGGTGCTGTTACATAGAATGGCATCAGAGCACAGAATGAAGGATAACTCAGCTTCACAGTGGGGTTCCTAGTGAGGAAATCAGTGTGGAGGTTGATCATGGAGTCCGTAAGGATCATTCTCTGGTGCTTTATGTTGTTCCTAGTGATGGTGTCTGTCTTATCTGTTGTCATGCGTGCACAGTTCCGGAAGAAATCCTGAACAGTATGTGTTATAGCTTGTAAAAATGTTGGCTTTTTCTTTGTCTGTTTCTTAAACATAGACCAAAATGGAAAATAGAAGGAAAAATAAGGACTAATAAAAAGTGAAAATAACTCAGAGGTGTCAGAGGAGGGTAGAGTTTCGCAAATCCGGATAAAGATAAGATTGTCAAAAATTTTGTGTAAGGGGGCCCCATGTCTGTGTTTGCCTTGGGCCCCCAAATTGCTAAATCCGCCACTGGCTCCACGTGGCTGACTCTGAGGAGGTCAGGTGGAAAATGGCACTCGTCTCCTTTGCCGGATGTCTACAGCAGCCTTTCTGAAATGGGGGTACGCGTACCCCTGGGGGTACGTAAAGAAACTCCAGGGGGTACATCAGAGAAGCAGACTGTGTCTAAAAAAGAGCTTGATCACAGCAGTTGCCTCCCTGCCACCAAGGATGAAAAAGATCCTCAGTGAAGCACAAGCCCAAGTGTCTCACTAAAAAGTCTATAAAAACACTCCGATCAGTGCAGTAATGTTAAGATTTCAGTCTTCTTTTTGATTTTTAAAAATATATTTTGAGATATACATTTGTTTTTAGCAATTGTTATTTAAAATGACGTTGATGATTTCTTTTAGAGAACAGATATACTATGATCCCAAAAGAGAACACTTTATGTTGATATGCTTTTTATGAGCACAAATCTTTAATTATAATTAGCTTAATAATTTCTTTGGCCTGTATTTGATATATTTTTTTAAATATTTCTAGTTATATATATATATTTTCCAAATAGTTCAAGAAATACTACAAAAAATGTGCAGTGTTTTGCACATTTATGGATTTTTCAATGGGTAATCTTATGGTTTTAAATAGTTTTATGGTGACTGTTTTCAATTAATTAATTAGAATCACATTTTAGTGATGAAAAATATTTCCATTACATTTAGTTATGGAGTATTAACATTTAAAATATTCAAAATAGTTTTTTTTCCCCAAATGGTTGAATTTTGTACTTGTTTATCAGTTTCAAAGTTTAATAAATCAGTCACTGAAGGCACCTATTTAACGTCTTGTTTTTTTTACAACCAAAAATGTTTTTGCGCTGATTAGGGGTACTTGGCTGAAAAAAATATTTCACGGGGGTACATCAGTGAAAAAAGGTTGAGTACCACTGCTCTACAGGATCATATCAGAGTGGGAGGAGAAGGGCGCTCACACTCAGATTCCCTTTGGGATTTCACCCATTTTGCCCAAGATGTTTGAAAGCTTCACCAGGGGCAGAATTATCGTTGGTGCAGGCAAACTGCTGCTGCTTCACACCTCACAGAAACAGAGTTTAGATTAGCAGCTGCTGGTGCAATCACACACATCTCTGCTCCTATAGGATTATGCAGTTTTCTCTACAAAACAGGTTCATGAGCCTTAATCCCTCCAGGCCTACCAATAGTAAGATGTGACACTCCCCCAATAAGAAAAGCAAGAATCCATTTTAAACAGGAAGTCATCTAGAAAGCAAGACTTTAGCGCCCTCTTCTGGTCAGCCTTTTAGAAGAGACTTCAAAATGTCTGCTTTATTATTGACATACATAAAGGAATAAGAAGATGGTACAGAACGGTTTTCAAGCTTTTTATCAATTTTTTTGCTTTGTTTTTATTTATTTCACGAGTTTGTTGTGCTTTTTTGATTCTGTTGTTCTTGGGCTTTTGTTCAGATTAATAACGTCAACATCAAAACAATCCACAAACGCAAAGAATCTTAAAATCAACGCAGACGGCAGCAATTTCAGCAGCTGACACAAAACAAAATGAAATCAACAGAATTGTTTTTGTAAAGTCTTTTGCTATTCTTCCATCCATCTATTTTTCTCTCGTCCAAGGTCAGGTTGCTAAGATCCTGGAGCAAAGCAAAGACATTTTTCTTCCCAGCTAGTCGCTCTACAGCCTCCCGGGGTATCCCAAGGCCCTCCCAGGTTAGAGAGGATGAATAATCCCTCCAGGGAGTCTGCTTCCAGCGGGATGCGCTTGGAAAACCTCCAGAAGAAAACAAAGAAGCATCCTAATCGTCTGTCCAGTGGCTTTATCAGTTGCTGATCATTAGAATTAGCAACGGTGCTAACGTTGACCTAATAAAATGGCACAAACAGGCCAGACCACAATGCTACTTTCACCAAAACTTGCAGCAGCGACATCAAAATGTTTTTGGGGGAGTTGATGAGGTTGAATGAAAACTTCTGGGAGATGAAAAAAAGACAACAAGACACATCAGAGAAACAAGAAGTTTCACGGATTCATTTCAAAAGAAGGATGCAGGAAGTGCACTTTGACTTTTAAGAGGATCAACAGACTCGATCGTGACTGTAGGACACAACAAATGCTATGCAATGACAGGACATGACAAGAACATGAGCAAATATCAAAGTTAGCATGTTTATTTTACAGTTGAGGTCAGCAATTGTTCTCAAACATCAGAGTTTTACCACAAACAACCAAAAATGTTTGTTCCATTTTGTGAAATTTTGCTCATCTCCTCCTCTCTCTCCCAACGAAGGCCTCCGTTTGTTCTGAGGAAGGAATGTTAACAAGCAGATCTGTTGATGGAGCAAAGCTGACGTCCAGACAGCAGTCGCTCAAGTGAAAAGAGCTGAAACAAGCATCTTTTCCCTGTCCTTCCTCTGCTCCGAGGCCTCGACTGAGAAGCTGTAAATCAATTAATCTGGAAGAAAAAGAGCAAACTGCAACAAAGGACAAAGATGAACGAGTGAGAGCGTGTGAATGTCATCTGAAGTGGCCCTCCTGCCGTCCGTACAGCTGCTTCCATGGCACCCTGACCCAAAAGCCCTCCCTCCAGCTGTACACACACAAGAGAGAACACACACTCTAGCAAACAGTCCAGGGAAGTTTTGAGCCTTTAAACGGCTTTATTTAGTTGCTACAGCATGAGAGAGGGCTTGCTTTGTTCTGTGCAGGCAGGGCGTGTGATGCAAGAGCCAATGAGGGGAGAAATATAGGCAAGTAGACGGGGGAGGAGAAAGGAGGACAAGTTGAGGCCTGAGCTGTTTCCTTCAGTTTTACCCACGTTCTCTTTGGAAACCACGGCTGCAGAGATATGGAAAGGACACGCGCAAAGGGAGAGCAAGAGAACGGGAAGCTGGATGAGAAGGGGGTGCACCTGAGGAGGGAGATCGGGCTGCTGCCTGCTGTGTCCTTCATCATCGGGACAGTGGTGGGCAGTGGCATCTTCATCGCTCCCAAGGGCGTCCTGATGAACAGTGGCAGCGTGGGACTGTCTCTGCTGGTGTGGGCGCTGTGTGGCATCCTGTCCTTGTTTGGTAGGATGACACCTTGTTGTTCTTTATCTTTTATATCATGGTTTAATACACAATAACGTTATTGCAATGCAAATTAAAAACATGCGTTCCTTACTTGTGCAATACCACATGTATTAGTGTGTCTGTGTCCCTTATGCTGCGCAGTTCTGGAAACCCAAGTTTCCTATTTATTCATTGTTTTAAGTGGTTGAATGTGACAGTAATAGCTTTCTGTCTTTGTGTGTTTACCTGGAATCTTGTTATTATTTTTCTTCTTTTTTTCTAAGTGTTTGTGCTGCTGTAATGAGTGAATTTCTCCTTGTAGCGTCATGAATTGGCCTCATATTTGTGACACAAAGGTCACATTTTCCCAGCTAGGTCAAGCTGTAACATTGTCTCTCAGTTTAACCATCAGGAGCCGTGATGTCCACTTCAATATTTAAAAAATAATAATTTTAAAATAATAATTTAATTAGTAATAAAGTTTTAACTTTTTGAAACCTGACTCTTCTTTGAAATGAAACATAGAATGGTGTATATTTGGTCATTGAATAAGCAAAGATTCAATTCAATAAATAAACTTTTGCTATTAAATTTAATCATCTTAAATTAAACATTAATCTTTGGATTAAAATATAGACCAAGACAGTTAGTGTATGAACTTCTATCGATTGTATTAATATTCTAGATATTTATGCATGATATAAGTTCATGTGCTAATGTCCGATCTTTTCTCAGGATCTAACCAAACTGAAGCAAACAGTGTTAAATCCTAGTATGTAGATTAACCACGACGCTACATCCTCTATGGGATTAATAAACTCTATTCTATTCTATTCTATTCTTGCATGAAAAAAATGTCTGAGATGCAAATTTTCACTCAACTTGTATCGTTTGTTTTCCTTCAATACTTTTCAAAGTTATCCCTTTTGAATGAGAAAACGTGCTGGAATAAACATGTCAAAATGTAGACATTTCTTTAAATAAATAAAGAATTAGGATCATTTTTGATATGTGCATGGATGGAATGTCACTTGGGGTTTTCAAACTTGAATGTTTGACTCAAGAAGCAATTTTTGCATGTTTGAAATAAGTTCTGACACCAGTGTCGCCACAGGTCCCTAAGGTTTAGTTTCCACCCAAAAAAAAAAACAGCTGTCATGCTAGTGCACGTCTGCCTAAAAAGTGAAACATTATTATTGCCTCCAACCTTTTAGAGTAAGTTATACTAGTTTATTTGCTTTTTTTTTTCAACTACCAGTAAAGTACCAGTACCAGCGAAAGTTCAGTTGGGACAACAAATTGCTGTAAGGAAATATCTCTGTTAGTTTTATACGTTAAAAGTTTGATATATTTAACTTTTTATTTATTCAATAAATATTTTACTTACAGCAAAAATGTCAAACATAAAAATTTGACAGAAAAAGAACAAATGACTCCTCACACTCTGACAATAAAAAACTTTATCATTTTTAAAAATATATTTAGAAAATCTGAGTTAGTTATTATCTTACGTTACTATAACAGCTATTTAGTATTCAGTTTAATTGATTAATTAATTTGAATATAAAAAGTATAACAATATTAAAGAAATAAAATTTGTCCACGCCACCTGTAGATCCTCCATCAGAGGGCAGTATACATGTATAGGACTGGATGAAGCAGGTTTTTGATGAGGGCACTAATCCTGACACTCATGACTCAAGGCCATAAGTGGTTTGATGTGAGTTTGGGATGAATTTAATATATTTTTACATTTTAGTTGGCGTTATACCAGTCTGTCACGGTGAAGAGAGAGCTGAGCTAGAAGACAAAGCTCTCGATTTACCGGTCAGTCAGTTCCAACACTCACCTATGGTCATCTATGGTTGGTGACCGAAAAAACAAGATTGCGAATACAAGCGGCATCTGGTTAGGGTGTCTCCTGGATGCCTCCCTGGTGAGGTTTTCCAGGCATGTCCAACCGGGAAGAGACCTAAAAGAAGACCTAGAACACACTGGAGGGACTATGTCTCTCAGCCGGCCAGGGAACGCCATGGGATGGATACATGGATGGACGGATGGAAAGACGGACGGACGAACGGAAGGATGGACGGACGGACGAATGGAAGGATGGATGGACGGACGAATGTAAGGATGGATGGACGGACGAATGGATGGATGGATGGATGGATGGATGGATGGATGGATGGACGGATGGACGGATGGATAGACGGGCGGGTGGATGGATGGATGGATGGATGGATGGACGGACGGACGGATGGATGGATGGATGGATGGATGGATGGATGGACCAACGGGTGGATGGGTGGATGGATGGATGGATGGATGGATGGATGGATGGACGGATGAACCGACGGGTGGATGGATGGATAGACGGGCGGGTGGATGGATGGATGGATGGATGGATGGATGGACAGATGGACTGACGGGTGGATGGATGGATGGATGGATGGATGGATGGACAGATGGACCGACGGGTGGATGGATGGATGGATGGATGGACGGATGGACCGACGGGTGGATGGATGGATGGATGGATAGACGGGCGGGTGGATGGATGGATGGATGGACAGATGGACCGACGGGTGGATGGATGGATGGATGGACCAACGGGTGGATGGATGGATGGACCGACGGGTGGATGGATGGATGGATGGATGGGTGGACTGATGGACCGACGGGTGGATGGATGGATGGATGGATGGATAGACGGACGGGTGGATGGATGGATGGATGGACAGATGGACCGACGGGAGGATGGATGGATGGATGGACCGACGGGTGGATGGATGGATGGACCGACGGGTGGATGGATGGATGGATGGATGGATGGATGGATGGATGGATGGACGGATGGATGGATGGATGGATGGACGGACTTGTATATCTTGAAATCCAAAACACATAGGACCCTGTCCTGCTCATTTCTCGGCAGGGTTGTGGGGAGCTGGTGTTCATCTCCAGCAGTCATCGGGTGAGAGGTGGGAGACCCCCGGACCGACCCCCAGTCCATCACAGGGAAACAGAGATAAAGGCCCCAGAAAGGCCTCTAGAGCGATTGAACCTGCGTCCTTCTCACTGCGAGGCGACACTGCTATCGACAGCACCACCATGCAGCTTCTTATGCAACATATTTATGTAAAATATGGATCAATAGCTCAGAAATGTAGTTTTGTAGACATCTGGGAGTGACGATAACTACCCAGCTCTTCCTCTCTGATCTCTCAGGAGCCCTCTGCTATGCTGAACTGGGCACCAGTTTTACCAAATCTGGGGGCCACTATACCTATCTGCTGGAGACTCTGGGGCCCCTTCCTGCTTTCCTAAGACTCTGGGTTGAATTCTTATTCATAAGGTGGAGGTCATTACTACGTTTTTGGGATGTGAACCAGAATTTGGATGAAATTCCCAACCTTTACTGGATACCTTTTCCTTCTCCAGACCAGCTGTTGCTTCCTATGTGTCCCTGGCGTTTGGGCGTTATGTAGTGGAGCCTTTCTTTGCTCCTTGTGTTGCTCCAACCGCACTCATCAAACTCGTCAGCATCCTCGGAGTGAGTGAGTGGTTTTACACTTCTGCTTGGTTTTTACTCCTTAGAGAAAACAACACAGGATGTTTCTGAAAACGTGGCTTGGTCTCTGCAGCGTTTGTTGTAGCGGTGAACTGCTGGAGCGTCAGAGTAGCGTCCCAAACCCAAATCACGTTGACCTTCATTAAGATGTTCGCTCTGGTCCTCATCATCATTCCAGGGATCATCGCACTGGCCAAAGGTGGAAGGATTTATTTTCTATTCCTGGTTTTTAAAAGTGAAAATTCACTGTTTGAGAATTCCATCTTCATGCATCTTTTTCTTTTGCAGGAAAAACAGAAAATTTCCAGAATGGCTTTGAAGTGGACTCATTAACACTGGACAGGCTGCCACTGGCCTTCTATAATGGCTTGTATGCTTATGGTGGATGGTAAGCGAACACTTTATAGTATATTTGTGGTACATTGTTTCCTTACCTAAATCTGGGGTTTTCTTTAGGTTTTATTTGAACTTTGTCACAGAAGAGGTCATAAACCCAAACAGGTATTTTATGTTGTGCCACCGGAACCAAACTCGGTCCGTTTCTTGTATTTGCAGCTAAAAGTGTTCTCTCTGTCTGTGTTTCTTATTAGAAACATCCCTGTGGCTATAATATTCTCCATAGTGACCGTGACAGTGTTTTATGTGCTTGTTAATGTGGCCTACTACACCGTGATGACACCTGCAGAGCTGCTGCTCTCTGATGCAGTGGCCGTGGTCAGTTTTCCAGACATTTACACAGTAAAACGATTAAAAAAGACAAGAGAATTGGTCAGAAAAGCAAAGTTTGATCTGTTATTTGTTTGCTTGCAGACGTTCGCCAACCGTGCTCTGCAGGGACTGGCCTCTGTGATTCCCATTCTCGTAGCCTTGTCGTGCCTTGGTGCGCTCAACGGTGGTTTCTTTGGGTCGCCCAGGTAATCTGAGAGGAACCAAAAGTTATATTTGTTATTTTTCTTGGTGAGTGATTGACTGGCATCTGTTTTTGTTTCCTGTTAGAATGTTATTTGTAGGTGCCAGAGAAGGCCACTGGCCTCGTATCTTTTCCATGATTCACATCAGACGACACACGCCTTTACCTGCGGTGCTTTTCCTGGTGAGATTATAAACCCGCCATGAAGGCTAGGGGTTCCCAAACGTTTCAGCTCCTGACCCACGGAACAGCTTTCAAGACATGCAGCAAAGGTTTCAAGTGAAAAAGGATGAAACTTTATTACTTTTGTTCATCAGAAAGTTTGTGCATCACTGGAGTTATTATGTGTTCGTTGACATTTTAGTTCTACTGCTGACATTTCCATGTAATTATCTGTAATTTCTACTCTTTACATTTTAAAAATAGCTTTGTAACTCTTATTTTATTACAACTGGTCAATGTTGGAAAAAACTCAGCAGCAGCTTCCCAATAGGGAGGCTTTGATTACGGTTGGATGATGATTTCAAACGTCTGCCCTTCTGACTCCATATTAGTTCGCACTCAATTCATTGCACACTGTGACACAAACCATGTCACAGCCAGGACATTCATTCACTCATTCATTCATTCATTGCTCAGTAGCCATAACATTATAGTCATTCTGGCCTTTAGTAAAAATAAAGTAATATTTGTATTTTGGGGGCAGGTTTGTGCTTTATTGGGCTTTATTATTTCTGATTATAATGAATCACTCTGAGTTTTTTCATGCATGCTGACCATGAAAATAGTCTCCTACACCCATCTCCTGCTTTAGCTTCTGATAGACAATAGATGGTGAGACTCTAGCTGGATTTCCTACCCCCTTGCCTTGACACACCTTAAGCATGGATAGGCTGGCATTAGCATCGGAGAGAATAGCCATTAGCATGTCTCGGAGAGTCACTAGTCAGCTAGTGGCCAGCCACGCTAACGGCTAGCCTCTCCGACGCTAACGCCAACCTATCTGTGCTAATGGTCCGTCAAGGTGGTAGGAAATCCAGCCAGTGGCCAGCCTAGGCACGCTAATGGCTAGCCTCTCCAATGCTAACACCAGCCCGTCCAGGCTAACGCTAGCCTATCCATGCTAATAGACAGCAGAGGGAGTGTGTGAACCTGTCACTGACCAGCCGAGGGCTGCTAGTCCCTAGCGTATCTAGTAATAACGCCAGTAAAGGTGCTATTTCTCAGTAAGCAGCGCCAGCCTCTCAGTTACCGGCGCCAGCTTATCATTAATCAGGTCGGTAGTTTGCTTCAGAATTTATATAGCCTCCTGCTGCCGGGCAGTAGTTTTAATTTTGGCCCCCCATACCGCGCCATATAGAAAACCCTGACAGATCTACGTCACACTGTCACTTAAAGCATAACTGGCTCTCATCTGTAAGGCAACCAAGCATTCAATTCAAGTTTATTTATATAGCGACAAATCACGACAAGAGTCGTCTCAAAGCACTTCACACAGTAAACATTCCAATACAGGTCAGTTCATTAAGCCAATCAGAAAAAGTTTTCCTATATAAGGAACCCAGCAGGTTGCATCAAGTCACTGACTAGTGTCAGTGTCTTTGCAGCAATCCTCATACTAAGCAAGCATGCAGCGACAGTGGGGAGGAAAACTCCCTTTTAACAGGAAGAAACCTCCAGAGAATCCTGGCTCAGTATACAGTGAACTTTATTGTATTTATCCTAGTGAATCTATAATTAAACAGGTAAACTAGTAGTAGCACATGATATTATCAGGAGAGGGAGAAAGTTTAAGTGGTTAGCAGCAGTGTGCTAGACGATGGCCCCCTCCATGAGGCCACCACAACTCAGCAGAACATCACTGTAGCTTCTTCTGGGGAGAAAAACACTTAGAGAGAAAATAAAGTTAACAGCTGAAATAGCAGGAAGTAGTACAGTTAAAGAGCAGATTGTAGAATAAAGCAGTAGAGTGTGAAAAGTGGTCAGTGTATCCTCCAGCAGTCTAAGCCTATAGCAGCATAACTACAGAGATAACTCTGGATAATCTATCCTATTTAGATGGAGGCATGTTGGAGGCAGGGCAAGAGAGAGCCGTCTTTACCGACTGTACACTCCACCTCCCTTTACTCCCCAGAGTATCTTTTCTTCTCTGGGGTGACAATTTTGACTGTGTTACTAGAAAAAACAGCAAATGAAACGTTTACGTCTCATCCAGACATTTGCTTCTACTCACACTACAAACACGAAAGCCGAAAATGTCTGTTATGCACAACTGCAGCGGCAGCAAATTGTTGCCGCAGACTCAAGTATTGAGTCTTTCACATTGTCGTCCACATACCGGTCCTTGGCTTCCTTATTTTTTGTTTCCCATTATATTCCGCATCCTTTTCGGGATTTGAACATGTCTACCTCTTTTTTTTATCTAAAATCTGCTTCTTCTGTTTGTTTCCATCGGTTAGTTACACTCGTTAGGCTATCAAGATGTCCGCCATGCCCCAGAATGCAACGCGTAATCACGTGTGTTACCAAGCCCCATTAGATACCTGAGCTTGTTCTGGTGATGGGGCTGATGAAGCCATGATCTGTCAGTCATTCAATCTAAAATCCCTTCTAAACAAGAAAGCGTTCCACCTTTTCCAGTGAAGAATCGTGACCTCAGATCTGGAGGCGCTGCGCTTCACACTCATGTGCACGCCACTACCACAGAGCACGCTGAAGGTCAAAGAGAAAGAAAACAACACATCTGCAGAAAGCAAATGTAGCGAACCCCGTTTCTTTCTCCTCTTTTTCTCCCGACAACAAACACGTTGTAAAACTTAAGACTGAAGCTACATTTCTTCCTTTCTTTTGAGTCTACTTGCGACACACTGATGCCGCTATTATCCGTGCACAATTGCAGCGATTCTATTTGCATGCATGCTTGGCTGCTGCATCTACTTGTCCGGGAGACAGCTTATTACAGCGCTCAGGGGTTCATCACACTCATTTAAGCTAATTCAACGTTGTTTGTTGTGCACTTTGAATACTCCTTAAATGGATTGAATATTCAGAACCCTGTATGGATGCTAATATGTAAAAGTGCTCAACAATCACGGAACAAAACAGAAATCTAGTCTATTTTATAACCGCTACAGTCCTAAGCGATGGAGACCGAGTGGCGGAGTCTGATTAGAGCTCTGTTGTTTGTCTCCAGTACCCCTTGGTGGTGGTGATGTTAATCAATGGTGAAATCTACCAGCTCATCAACTTTGCATCCTTTTCTCGCTGGTTCTTCATCGCCTTGGCAACCTTGGGCATGCTCATCCATCGACACCGTTTCCCAAATCACCCGAGGCCTTTCAAGGTTAGATCTTTTGTTTTATCTTTATGAGCTGTGCAGAATATTTCTTTCCGCAGACTAATCTTAATCTGGCCTTTCGGCCTCCTGCAGGTGCCGCTGGTCATTGCCATCACCTTCACAGCGGTTTGCTTCTTCATCGTGGGTCTGTCGCTTTACTCTGACCCCTGGAACACGGGACAGAGCTGTGTCCTCACGCTGACCGGGGTGCCGGTTTACTATCTGGCCGTTCATCGCTTTCGGCTGCCAAACCGATGGAGACGCATTTTCAGTAAGTTGAACAGCCAGGGAGTGATTCAGCATGGCCTCTTTATTAGGTACAGTTGTTCAACATGCTAGATGTGGTCTTAAATGGTGACTAACTTTACCTTCCTCTGACTTTCCCAGACTACTGCAGCAAACACATGCAGATCCTCCTGGAGGTGGCCCAACAGGAAGTCCAAACATACTAAAGATGAGTTTCCCACCAACAGACTTTATGAATACCATCTTAAGTTCAATTTAAAGAGCAAGTAACCCCCTGCCAGATTCTTACTCAACTCCCACTTCCTGTTTGAAAAATGCAGCAAATGCTGTTGCCTAGCAGACCGAGAGGGCGGAGCCGGTAACAAATACAAACACAGGCCGTGTTTGAGATGAGCCAGTTCTGCGCAGGTTAGATCACCGGTGCATGCCGGTTAGATTTGTGTCCGACTTGACGCCGACTTGCTCTGACGTCATGCATACGTAGGCAACGATAACCTTGTGAGATCAAGGCGGCTGCAGATTTTGGAGCAAGACGCTGCAGTTGCTCTCCACCGGCTGCAAAACCTAGGGGATGACGGGAAACGCCTGGCTCTCACCTGATCTAAGATCTGATTGGTTCATATTTTGATCCAAACATCTGGTGGTAGAATGCAAAATGTTAGTTGGTCACATACATTCTGTAAATCATGACACTGATGATAACTAAATAGGCCATAAAGAGAAATGTGATTTATGTTATTTGTCATGTTTCCTATGAGCACACTAAAGCTACAGCTGATAACCTTTACTTATTATTACAGTCATGTCTTCATATAGAATATATGACATCCACAAGCACGTGAGGATGTGTTTCGGTTGCTAACAGGTACCAGAATCAAAATAAATAATTAAACAAGTATGAACTAGGGGTTGTATGAACTAGTCGACTTGTCGACTTCACTGCTCTGTAATGACTTTTTATGCCTTTCATCGATTAGTCGCTGTCATGTGATAATGACCGACAAGATGCAGTCCTCGGAAGACAGCAGGTGACGAGCTCCTGTGAGTCGGGAGGCGACGCGCTGTGCCAGAGCGTCGGTACTGACACCCGCCGTAAAATGGACATTTAACCAAATTGTGACGTTTACCCTCTTGCAATTTAACCTTCCCCTCACCCCCATCCTGACCTTAACCAGCTTGCGCATGCAAAGCTCTGATTGTTGACGCGCTCCAGACATCTGCGTCCTGAGCACGGCCACAGTAACATTGTCAAATCAGGTGTCGCCACCTCAAAAACTAATTTAACACGCGATCGTTCATGTCGGCTCATTTCCTTTTATGTTCTTCTGTCTTTTATTTGTGCCTGATGCTTTTCGCTGCTGTGGAGTGGAGCGCATCACCTGTTTTGTCCTCTGGTGACGCACCTCACTGGTGCGGCTGGCGAGCACTCTGCTGTTTTTGCGGTCGGTAGATCTTTTAGAACTACAGTTCAAAGGTAACTCATAAGGTGAATATATATGAACCCAGGTAGCAGTTTTTCTTTAGGACTGAGAGGAGATGCAGGGAGATAATAAACAGGCAGGACAGAAAAATAGTCAAATAAAAACAAGTTAGTTTTTGTACCTGGTGGTTGCAACAAACAGACACCATTGAAGGTAATCAGACGTGAGGAACAGAAAATGAAATAATTATTTTAATGTTTAGAGCAGCAGGAACTCTGAAAGGCTGCAGGCGCATCAGTGAGTTTGCGGCTGCTGTGCGGGGGAGGGGGGAGAGGGCTAAAGCAGAGCAGTATAGATGCAGAAACAACCGTTGTTAAGAGATGTGTTTAACTTTGAAAATGTGGGCAAATTGTCAAAAAACTCCAGCGAACCAACCAACACCACCCCCCACGCGGCTTCAGGTGTATGACGTCGTCAACGACTAGTCAAAGTCGACTCGATTTTCATTATTTGACTGTCGACTTTAAAAAAAATTAAGTCATGCAACCCCTAGTATGAACGCTAACGCGATATCTTCGTCCATCATCACCTGCGCCGGCTTTCAGCCACTCCCCCTGCTGAGTCCGTCTGCTTTCCAGGCTGCTCATCTCGAACAAGGCCACACACAGGCTCACAACATTGTGACATCATATGGTACCAGCTAACATTTTAGGGTACCTCTTAGCCAATAGCGATGGCAGATTTAAATTCAAATGCAATGCAGTTTTTAACCTGACAACGGCAGGACACTGAGCTTTAGGCAATTTAAATTTTAACTAAAATGCACTAAAGTGCCAAACTAGTAACCACACGTGTCTGCAGCACGATTAGACACACATTTTTATAGTTTATCAGAAAAAAATAGTTGCTTGGGGGTGACTTGCCAAACATTTAGGATCCTTTACAGAGAAAAACTTTTAACACGGAAGATTCTCACCTGTTCGTGTTTTGCCACTTTTGTAAATAAAATGTATTTTTAAGATTCAAAGCCACACGAAGTCCTAATTTTACATCCTTCTACAATAAAGACTTTTCTGAGCCAGACTGTTCGTGCTTCTTGTCGACTTTTATTTACACAAGAGTAGAAATGTGTATTCAGACTGAGTTTTCCAGAAACGTTACACCTCACTTCATTAATTCCACCGATGAAAGGAAGTAATCACCTGCAGCTCTAGAAAGCGAAACTACACATTTTCACTCACATGTAGCATAAAAAATGAAGTCACAATAGTTTGTGCCAACAAACTTGGTCTCTAAAGAAACTTCCATGCTATCTTCCACGCACCAACACAGATGTTTTCCTCTATTTTGCTGATTCTGCTTCAAGACAAGAATAAAAGCCATCAAGCTTTCTCAGAGAATACAAATAAAATATTCTTTAGTCCCTTTTGATGTTAAATGTGAAGACACAAATCCTCCCTTCTGATCAGATCTGGAAGATGGCAAAAACATTCCAGTCAGTGAGAATTAAAACAACAACGTACATTTCTAAAGTAAACAGAGACAATCCTATTGCTGTTAGTGCTAATAATAGTAATACTTTCTTACTCCTACAGTCTAATGCGGTTCCAAACGCTGTTTGAACCACGAGGCACAGAAAGATCTTTCTAAAATATTCAGAAACTCTTTCCCACTTGCAGATGGAAGTGCTGTAAATCATATATTAGAATGTGCAAATCAACTTATTTATACACTTAAATATTCATCTTCTTTCAACGACAGTTGTGGATTAAAATGTTCGGACGTTAATAATCCAATAAGTGATTTAAATGAGCAAAACAAACAAACCCAAACTAGCAGAGAAACAGCCAAGCACGAGTGAGCAAGCCTCGCTGTCGTTTATCTCAAACTTCACCAGAAACGGCAGCAAAAATCTGCTCAAGCAAAGCAAAAAGGAGCTCGTTTTGTTCCAGAGAGACGACGGCTCTCTTCTTGTAACATATATTCATAAAGATGCGTTAATATTTAAAAATCAACCTGCGGTTTGTCAATAAAGTTTCATTAAAGCAATAAAGAGTGTGTGTGTGTGGTTTGTAGTGTTTTCTCCAAATTCTGCAGTTTATCTTTCCAGTGATCTAAACCTGCCCGATGAACTCTGACCAGCTGATATTAGCGATGCCCAGTTCCTCGTCCAGACCCGTGAAGCTGATGTCCACCAGAATCTTGCTCAGGCTGTCGTTCATGAGGTCCAGCACGAGGCCCTCCGTGAGCGAGCGGTTAGTGGGCGTGGCGCTGCCGGCTTGCAGGAGCTCCCTGGAGCAGCTGCTTTGCGGGTGTCCGATCGGCGACTCCGTTGATCTGGTGACTCTGCAGGGAGCCGTGGTGAGCAGCTCCCGGGGGGAGCTGAACAGAGCCAGGTCTTTAAAGGGAGTGCTGTTCAGACTGAAGGTGGTGTATTCGTGCCGGGGCGTGGCTACAGGACCGCTCGGAGTGCGAATAGGACTGAAGTCCAGAATGTTTTGGCTCCCTTTGCCCACAGGGGTCACAAGCCATGGCTCGAGTCCAACAGAAGAGCGTTTGCTGGGGGTGGAAGAGGTCAGGTGGGTGATGCTCTTTATCGGAGTCTTGAAGGAGAACCCCCGGTCAGGACTGTCTTGTCTGTGCCGCTGCTCATTCGGCCCGACATCCAGAACGTCCTGGAACGTCGACACATCAGAAGCTACACCAGAGTCGAAGAAGTCACTATCAGGACAGAGGAGAACAGGCTCCTCGTGCAGCGAGTTAGCCAGGCTCTGTTTGCGTCGAGAGCTGCTGGCTTGTCTCTTCGGAGGACGAATGGGAGTCTCACATCTTATTGGAACATCAACTGGCTCCTCCTTTATCTCCAGCTTCAGGTTAGTGATCTTGGGAGGAGATTCAGCCACAACCGAGATGCTGCTTTGTGTCACCTTTTCATGGAAAATAATATGTTAGATTCCTTTGGCGTCGAAAATTACAACAAGTTGTGCCTAAAAAGCGGTTTACCTTAGGAGCTATGCGGACTCTCTTTGCCCCTCGAGAAAAGGTCTGCTTCTGCTTGGGGCAAGCGTAGCTAAAGGAGGCAGATGGGGTTGACAGATACAACGGAGAGGCCACAGGGAGCTGGATCGGAACCAAGTAGGATTCGGTTCGAGGGAGAAGCGGTTTCATCCTTCTCTCTGAGCACAAGGAGACACGGAACATGAACCAGCAGCACAAGTAGGGCTCTGAGGATGAGTCTGAGTCATTTCTGGAAACTAGAAGTGGATTTGGGAACTCTGAGGCTCCAGCCTAGTCCTTAACTCACCAGAAGAGGCTGGTATTTTTCTGCCAACAGCAGCCGTTCTCTTTTGTTGACATGGAAAGGAAAACGAAAAGATGCACCATCACTTTAAAATAGTCAAATGAATACAACTTTATTAACAATGCTGACAAAGACGGTACCCTTTCCAACTGACTCCTTTTATGGATAAAAAAAATAGCTGTATTTGTGAGTGGGTATAAACCAGCGTTAGACAAGGGAAAGCCTCTTCAGCCTCTCTGGTTCTCAGATCACCTCCTGCAATAAGATGACCTCACAGCTCCAGGTTCACCTGCATTTTCTTACCTCAAATAAATACATGAAAACTAGGGCCCGACCGATATATCGGCCGATATTGGAGTCATTAACCGTATCGGTTATTGGCCAAAAAGATGACCGATATTGCGCTACCTATCCAGCAGATTGCACCAGCTTTATGAACTCATGTTGTGTGGCTCCTAGCGATGGGTACCGAATTCTGTACTTTTTAAGGTACCGACCGAATTCCATAGTACCGACTGAGCACAGATTCAAGTCATGTGAAACGGTGCCTCGTTTCGGTACCCGTCCTTCATAACGAGAACTTGCCTAGACAGCTGCGCATGCGCAAGAGCGCTATGTCGGTCGCTGCGAGCGAGTTGTAAACAGAGCAGCATGGTAGAAAGAACGCACGCTAAAGCTTGGGTCCACTTCACTAAATGTGATGGGTAACTGGGTGATGATGAAATCAGCGACAACGATCTAAGTGAGACATCCTCATCTTAATCTGCTCCGGTAGGTAAACAAAATGTTTAAGACAACGTTAGCTTGATATGTTAGCTTCCGTTTCGCTAATGGTGCGTTCGCTTTCTCCTCGGAACTCCGAATTTCTGACTAGAATGCGCTCTAAAGTTTGGCTTCACTTTACTAAATGCAACGGGTGATTGGGTGAAGATGAAACTGTTTAAGATAACGTTAGCTTGATAAGTTAGCTTCCATTGCCACCGTTGTTATCAGCTAATGGTGCGTTCGCTTTCTCCTCGGAAATTCTAACTTCCCAGTAGGAAAAATCAAAAGAAAAAAGACATCAAAAGGAATGAAGATACACAGTAAATTTAGTTCACAGTAAAGATGTTTGCTTCAGTTTAATTATCAACTTATAAAACTACAAGGACAATGTTAAAATACAAACAGTTGTATGTTATTTATTGTGATATTTATCAAATATGGTTATATATTGAGAAAAATATATATTTAATTATAAAAAAGAATTAAAATATTAAACACTCAAAAGTATCTAAAATTGGTACCGTTAAGCACCGGTATCGATTCCTAGGTACCGGGAATTAGTACCGAATCGATTCAAATGTCAAAGGTACCCATCCCTAGACTGGCTCCACTCCTTTGAACACAAATGATTGTTTTGGAACTTTTTTTTAAATTTATTCTTATTTGTTTCTTATGTGCAACTATTTCCTGTCCAGGGTGAATAAGTTCACCAAGTTAACTTCCACAGAGTGTTACTTTGTTACAAAGCACAAGTATTACGTTTTATTTATTGCTGCATTTTTATTATTTTAATACTGTATTCTTATAGGGATCTTCCGTCCCTAAACTCGTGTGTGTTGTTAGATTCCCCAGAGTAAGCTAAGTCAGAAAAAACATTTTGTAACCAGTTGTTTTAGCACGAAGCAATGGAAGGGAAGGCTTGCATTCACCTACATAAAAAACACTACAATGTATGTGAATTCACTTACATCGTTTTATGCTAAACTAAGAAAACCAACTGCTGCCAGATCATGTTGGGCTGGTTATAAAATGCTTTTTCTGACTTGTCTAACTCTGGGGAATCTTAACAAGACACAATTTTACTGAGCGGTGGAATATTCCTTTAAGTTAAAATGTATTTGTGGAAACCACAGTTTACAAGAAAAAACTTGAAAGTTAGATTTATGCTGTGACTGAGTTTGAAGAAGGAGGCCTACAGGGCGTGGCTGGTGTGTGGGTCTCCGGAGGCAGCAGACAGGTACCGGATAGCCAAGCGAGGTGCAGCAGTGGCAGTTGCCGAGGCAAAAATCTCGGACGCGGGAGGAGTTTGGTGAGGCCATGGAGAAAGACTATCGATCGGCTCCAAAGAGGTTCTGGCAAACTGTCCGGCGCCTCAGGAGAGGAAGGCAGCAACTCGCTCACACTGTTTACAGTGGGGATGGGGAGCTGCTGACGTCAACTGGGGCTATAGTCGGACGGTGGAAGGAATACTTTGAGGAGCTCCTCAATCCCACCTATGCGTATTCCGAGGAGGAACCAGAGCTGGGAGGCCTGGGGATGGACTGTCCGATCTCGGGGGCAGAAGTTGCTGAGGTAGTCAAACAACTACACAGCGGCGGAGCCCAGGGTGCGGATGAGATTCGTCCTGGGTATCTCAAGGCTATGGATGTTGTAGGGCTGTCATGGTTGACACGTCTCTACAACATTGCGTGGTCATCGGGGGCAGTTCCTAGGGAGTGGCAGACCGGGGTGGTGGTCCCCATCTTTAAGAAGGGTGACCTGAGGGTGTGTTCCAACTATAGGGGGATCACACTCCTCAGCCTCCCTGGAAAGGTCTACGCCAAGGTACTGGAGAGGAGGGTCCGATCGATAGTTGAATCTCAGATAGAGGAGGAGCAATGTGGTTTTCGTCCTGGCCGTGGAACTGTGGACCAGTTCTATACCCTTGCAAGGGTGATGGAGGGGGCATGGGAGTTTGCCCAACCAATCCACATGTGCTTTGTGGATTTGGAGAAGGCTTATGACCGTGTCCCCAGGGGCACCCTGTGGGGGACGCTCCAGGAGTATGGGGTGGGTGGCTTTCTGTTAAGGGCCATTCAGTCCCTTTACCAGAGGAGCGTGAGTTTGGTCCGCATAGCCGGTAGTAAGTCGGACCTGTTCCCGGTGAGGGTTGGATTCCGCCAGGGCTGCCCTTTGTCACCGGTTCTGTTCATTACCTTTATGGACAGAATTTCTAGGCACAGCCGTGGTGTGGAGTGTGTCGAGTTTGGTGGCAGGTGAATCTCGTCTCTGCTTTTTGCGGATGATGTGGTCCTCCAGCTTCATCCAGCTCTGACTTTCAGCTCTTGCTGGGTAGGTTCGCGGCCGAGTGTGAAGCGGCTGGGATGAGGATCAGCACCTCCAAATCTGAGACCATGGTTCTCGACCGGAAAAGGGTGGCTTGCCAACTCCGGGTCGGGGGAGAGGTCCTACCTCAAGTGGAGGAGTTTAAGTATATCGGGGTCTTGTTCACGAGTGAGGGTAGGAGGGATCGGGAGGTCGACAGGCGGATTGGTTCGGCATCTGCAGTGATGCGGACGCTGAGCCGATCTGTCGTGGTGAAGAGGGAGCTCAGCCAGAAAGCCAGGCTCTCGATTTACCGGTCGATCTACGTCCCAATCCTCACCTATGGTCATGAGCTTTGGGTAATGACCGAAAGAACGAGATCGCGGATACAAGCGGCCGAAATGAGTTTCCTCCGTAGGGTGGCCGGGCTCAGCCTTAGAGATAGGGTGAGGAGCTCGGACATTCGGGAGGGACTCGGAGTAGAACCGCTGCTCCTCCGGATCGAAAGGAGTCAGTTGAGGTGGTTTGTGCATCTGGTCAGGATGCCTCCTGGACGTCTGCCTGGGGAGGTGTTTCAGGCATGTCCTGCCGGCAGGAGGCCCCCGGGTCGACCCAGGACACGTTGGAGAGGTTACATCTCCAGTCTGGTCCGGGAACGCCTTGGGGTCCTGCCGGAGGAGCTGGTGGAGGTGGCCGGGGAGAGGACGGTCTGGAGCTCCCTAGTTGGGATGCTGCCCCCGCGACCTGGACCCGGATAAGCGGAGGAAGACGACGACAACGACTGAGTTTGTGTGTTCTGTTGTTTTTGAGATCTGCTAAATAAATCTTATTTGCATTACTTGGAAACCCGAGTGAGTTATTGAGACAGTTCTTTGGTGTGTAAGAGAGAAATAAGTTTGCATCAAAAAGGCAGAGAATGAAGGTTTTAAGCTTAAGAAAATTTATTTCTTTTTTTTGTGAGGGAGATTTATCGGCCATTATATCGGTTATCGGCCTTTGTTAAAGGTTTTATATCGGTATCGGTCCCAAAAAAAAAAAAAGCATATCGGTCGGGCCCTAATGAGAACATAAATCCTGATATGTGGGAGTGAGATGTTTAGACTTTCCTGTCCCTGTTTTAGCTTCCTGCTGGCTGACTGAGGTGAAAACGGTTCACAGAAGGGAATCAGTCTTACTTGATGGGAACATGAAAGCATTGGTGCGGGAACGGCAGCAGCCACTGGATCACAACAGGGCTACAGTATGGGACGTGTCGTGAAAGGGGATAAAAACATGGAGTGATTTAGAGCAGGTAGAACACAAACATGAATCAGGGCACAGACACTAAAACAGGAGAGAACGTTATTGACAGTTTATATTTTTTTCACTTGAGGACTTTCTTCTGCTTGCACATGAAAAGGGGGAAAGTATTGCTTCAGGGAAGCTCACCTTATAAACCTGATCAAGAGTGAGGCATCGGTTAACCTCAGGAGGGATTGTCCAGAAGGACGTTTTACCATCGGGTGATGACTTGCGAATGAACATGTCGTGCAGAGAAAGGTTGTGTCGAATAGAATTCTGCAAAAAACACATTTAAGATTTAATGTCTTGTAATTCTGTTCAACAATAATCTGTATTTTTACACCCTTCACCTTCCAGCCCGGTTTGGCCACATCTCGATAATAGGGAAAATTGTCCTCGATCCATGCATAGATTTCCTTCAGCGTCATCCTCCTGTCCTTCTTGCTGTTGATGGCAAACTGAATCATGGCCATGTAGGAGTATGGAGGTCTCTCTGCTTCGGTACCCTGGACAGCTTCTGCACTGGCGTATGGACCATGTGGCTGCAAATAGTCACAGAAAAAACACAAAGAGAATCATCTATATGTGCAACAATCATAGAGGATATTTTATCCAACTGAAAAAGAAGAAGAAAGTATCATTTCTACAGCGCCTCTCAAGATAAAAATCAGGAGGCGCTTCACAAAAACAAAAAATGTAAAAATAGAAAAAAGCATTTAGAAGATGTTTAAAAATATATTAAAATGAGCAAAAATAGACAATTGTGATTAAAAAAATGTTAAGAAAGAGAGAGAGTGAACAGGAAAGAGGGAAATCAGTGGATCCTGAGGAAGGTGGAATAGGTGAGGAGAGCAGAATAAAGAGAGAGTGGTGAAGAAGGTCATACAAAAGCCAGCTTGAACAGGTGAGTCTTCAGCTGCTTTTTAAAGGAGACCACTGAGTCCACTGATCTCAGGCTCAGGGGGAGAGAGGTCCAGAGTCTGGGGGCCACAGCAGCAGATGATCTGTCACCTTTGACCTTTAGCCTGGTGCTGCACAACCAGTAGGCTTTGATCACTGGACCTCAGGGACCTGCTGGGGGTGTAGGGACTAAGAAGATCACCAGTGTAAGATGGTGCTTGTCCATGTAAGGCCCTATAGACCAGAACCAGGATCTTGAAATGAACCCTGAAGTTGACTGGCAGCCAGTGAAGCTGGAGGAGAAGCGGGGTGATGTGGGTGTGTTTGGAGGACTTGGTCAGAAGCCGAGCACAGGCGTTCTGAACCACCTGTAGACGGTTCAGGGAGGTTCTGCTCAGACACGTGAAAAGAGAGTTACAGTAGTCTAAGCGTGAGGAGATGAAGGTGTGGAGCACTGTCTCAAGTTCAGAGCGGGACAGAATGGGACTCAGCTTAGCAATGTTTCTGAGATGGAAGAAGGAAGAGCGAACAAGAGAACTGACATGAGAATCCAGGGTGAGAGCTGGGTCAAAGGTCACGCCAAGATTCCTGACGGAAGGTTTGGTGTGAGAAGTAAGCTGACCAAGAGAGTCTCTGACTTTGGGAACCAGCTTGTCTGGGGCACAGATGAGGATCTCAGTCTTATCTTCATTCAGCTGTAGAAAGCTCCCACCATCCAGGTTTTGATAGCGTCTAAGCAGGTGTGTAACAGCTGCAGCTTAGACATCTCATGGGGCTTAAAGATGTACAGTTGGATGTCATCTGCATAAAGGTGGTAGGAGATTCCTTTGAAGGAGCTCAGGATGTGCTGAAGAGGAAGCAGATAGAGGAGGAAGAGCAGAGGCCCCAGCACAGAACCTTGTGGGACACCATGGGTAAGAGTGGAGGTGGAGGACCTAAACTTGGAGACGACCACAGAAAAGGAGCGCTCAGAGAGATAAGAGAACCACTCCAGAGCAGTTCCTGATAGGCCTACCCAGTCTCTCAGCCTCTCCAGTAGCAGGTGATGGTCAACAGTGTCAAAGGCTGCAGTCAGGTCCAGCAGGACCAGAACAGAACAGTCCCCTGCATCACTGTGAGTCAGAAGGTCATTAGAGACCCTAAGAAGTGCTGTTTCAGTAGAATGAGCTCTACGAAAACCTGACTGGAAGCTATCATAGATGTTATGTTCATCAAGAGCAGCTGTGAGTTGTTTAGCCACAACCTTTTCCAAGATCTTGGAGATGAACGGAAGTTTAGAGATGGGTCTGAAGCTGCTCCAACTGTAGCCCAGAGTGATGAATTTTTACTGAGAAATACTAAAATATTTAATTTCAAATCCAACTATCTAATTAAAAAAATCATATTTAACCTCCATTCTAATTGTAGCAACCAAATAAGCCTGTAAATCAGTCAGTAGTTCGTCTGTGGTTTTAGGGGACACTCGGGAGTCCTGTCAGAACTCAGTAGGCCATCTGCATCACACAAAAAGAAGCAAGACTGACCTGTAAATTCTGGGATGTTGGAATCGATTTGTCTGTCGTCTGTTCTTCAGAATCCGGCTCTAGGGCACAGGAGTCCATCTTGCCCAGCCACTGGATGTTTGTGAGGCTGTCGTCTAACGGGCTGCAACTCGCTTCTTTAATCACTGATGAAAGAGAAGAGTGCTTAAATGGACAATGATATGGGATGGTGAGATATCAGAGACAGCATAAACTGTCATACCGTATTTACAGCCAGATTGATGATCAGCTTCAGTGTTGAATGTGGCTTCCGAGCTTACAGATTGTCCAACTGGACTCCTCGTAGGAACAGATTCTTCTCTGGCAAATTCTTGACAAGAAGATCCATTGTCCCGGCTTCCACTCTCACTCAGAAGGATGAACTTGCTTGGACCCTGGTCACCACACTCTTTACTTTTTGCAGTAATGGCATCAATAACAACCTGAAGATCCACGTCTTTGGGGATGAAAACCACCTGAGTGTCAGACATGGATGAATGACCCATGATGTGGACACCATCTAGGAGGCACTGACTGGCAGCTGGTTTTGAGGATTCTTTGGAGCTTGAAGCAGCAGACGGAGAGCGTGCGTCAGCTGCTTCATTTTGCTGAAAAGGTAGTTTTCTTCTTTTCAGGATAAGGGGTCTCCTCGGACTCCTTCTCATGGTCAAATCATTGAAACGTCCATCCAAATTCACTGGTAAGCTGTGGGGAAAAAAAAAATATATATATATATATATATATATATAAAAATAAAAAATAAAGAATATTTTAGGAACACATTTTTTTTTCTTTACCTTGCTTGCATCATATCAGAAAACCGTTGTAACGCAAATCACCGGTGGAAAGTTAAGTTGTTATTTTACGTGTCTACGTATCTATTAATATTAAAGCACACGATTAATTCATGTTATATTAAAACACGCTGTGGGTTACGCTATTAAGACAAAAAGTTCCGACTAACGTATCCGTGTTACGGCTCAGTGGTTATCCGAGGTTTTATTCCTTGGCAACTGGAGAATTCAGGCGTTAAATTCACACCGGAAGTATAATTTAACGTTTATTCACAATGACATGGCTAACCGTTGTATACGTTGTAAATAGTATGACACAATGACACGTTTGAAGCTTAAATTGGGCCCTAACAACACCATGTCTCATCTAAGAAAATGGGTTTTCAGCTTAAAAGCCCGATGCTACCACTGCTGCTGGTGGTAGCTTCTGATTGCTAACAGCAAAGCTACTAAATAAAGCCAGACCTTCATATTTCTTGTTTCAGACGGCTCCGCTGGTTTGAACTCCAACGCTGATGTTGTGGAGCACTTCGCTCGTATTACATTTTTGATAAAAGATATGTGACAGCTACCAAGCCTTTATTACAGGTTGTTTACGTGTCAAGTCAGAAACCGTTTTTGAATTTTGGCGCTGTGGGTGGTGTCCCTCTACATGTTGATCACGTGGTAAAAACGGGCCAATGGGAACAAGAAGCTCAACGGACAAGAAGTACTCTAGGGGGCGCTAAATCACCCACAAGCGGCTGCGCAAGTCGGAAAAAAGACGACAAAGAAGAAACCCGGGAAGTAGAAACAAAAGATGATTACATGAATTGACTAACTGTTGTTTGTTTTTAACTTTGTGGGACGATTTGAATATAGTGTCCAAAGAACAACAATGCAGTAAGTATTAACCCGAGATAGAGAGAAAGCATTTGGATGTATACAATTTGATGCATGTTAAGCGTAAACATCCGTATTCTGTTAGATAGTCTGACAAAGGCAGACATTAATTGAGGGGTTTTACTAATCTATTCCTTACTTGTCATCAGATGTTCAGGAAATATTTAAATCAATGCCCCGCAAAGTCTCAAAGACAGACAAGCCTGCCCTGACATTCGTGGAGCGGCCTCTGGGTGGCGCCAGACGCCGACATTTACCTGAAGTAAGAGCAGCAATTAATCCCAGGGATTTTTTCAACGAGACACAGAAGCACAGCTCAACTCTTGATTCATGGGTAAGTATTTTTGTGTTTATTTATTTAGAAGACGTTTAAAGGTGCATGGTTATACTTTCTTTGGTGATGGGGTTAGGGTTAGGGTTCTGTCGGAGGGATAAAGTACCAAAGACAAACATTGGAATTTACAAAATGATCACTTTTACCTTTAATTCAGTTTTTATAAGCAGCATTAACCTGAAGGCAGACATGCACCTATCACTTGATACAATTACCTACATGCAATTTGTTTACTTTCAAACTCGGATTTATTTATATCTATATATTTTATCATTTATTCTTTTTTTCTTCACTCATGAATATTGTGAACAGCCACAGCTTGTTCTGTTGTTGTTGTACAATTACAATACATCATTCCTATTTCAGATTTCTAGTATGGTAAATAGGAAATACAGCTATGATATTGTTAAAAGTACATTTAGCCTGGCCAGACATGCCAATGCTTCCTTATAGGAAGCAAATGTCCTCTGTGTCGAATAGACAGAGGACGAGTCTGGCAGGCCAGTTTAAAGTACATCTTCATCATCAATATATATTTAAATTTTACCTTTAACATGTAATCAAAACTTTCAATAAGACACAGGAATAAAGCATCAGTTAAGAAGAGTCTTAATTTATTGCTTTTAATTTTCTGTGCTTTGAATTTTGCAGGTGAATCCACAGTTTGATTGCTCAGCAGCGCCTCCTGTGAGACGTTGGAGGAGACGGTGCCAGTCCGCCACAAGCGTCCTCGACAAATGCAGTCAGTTGCCCAGAAAAACCAGGGCGTGCAAATTCCCCTCACTGTCATTCCAGTCAGGGACGAGAGACAAGTCTCAAAAACCAAAGAGCACGGCCACAAAGAAAGGTGCAGAGGCGATCGTGTTGTCTGAAGTTAGGAACCAACCTCAGGGATCATGCGAAAGTGAAAGAGGACGATACTCGGAGTCAGACACATTAAAGAAACTGTTTGGCTCGCTCAGACAAAGAAATGCTGACCCAGTTTCTGAAGGTGCTGCATCCCACAAAGAGTGTTCTGATCAACCTGGAACTCAGTCAGCAGAAGTTACCAACAGATGCAGAATTCCAGCAGAGGGAGTCTCAACACCTTCCTCTGCAGAGCTGAACGCCACTGAGGTCAGCAATGTCAACCCACCACCTGAAGCAGACACTCCAAAACCAAAGCAAAGTCCCTCCTGTTCCTCTGTACTTTTCCTACTAGCTCAGCCTTGTACACCACCATGTAACAAGCCACCTGATGTTTTGGTTGAAGACACACCAGAGGAGGATTATGGAGTTAAGGCAACATGGAGGAGGAGAAAGGCGTTAATGATGATGTTAAAGGAGAAGGGATACCTATCGGAGTCAGATTCACGAACTCACAACTAATGTTATTTTGTAAATTACAAAACTAGATGCCAGTTTTTATTTTTATTTTTTGTTGTTGCCATGCATTGTTGTTCCTCAAGCCTTACTTATAGCCTCAGTGTGCTTTTGAAATTTCTAATCAAATCACAATTAAACAGCCTCATTTGAATTTGAATGGTTGCAATGTTCAAATGGTATCGCAACATTGCCGTGATAAAATAATTATGTTTATTCAAACGGGACTTTTTAGGAATCTACATTTTCATTATATTAAATTAACAAAATATTGTATTTTTGTTTGTTGTACACGTATGTAAACACACAATTATAAAAATCTATATGAAAAATCTGTCACTAAACTTTGCAGATAATTTTTCGTCTCAATAATATTTCTAAACGTGTCTTATTACTCGAAAATCCCGTCGATAAACTGGTTAAATTTAAATATGAAATAAATGTAACATAGACGGGGGAAAGTGCTCAAATATGTGAATACGCGGGATATTCTGCGTTACAATACATGTATTTTTTCTGCTCGTGACGCATTTAGTTATTTTTAACTTGAATATTTCCCAGTAAATGTATATCAATCAAGTTTCACGCTCCGCCCCTCTCCGGAATATCCAATTAGATTCCACCTGAGTAAACAGCGGACCAATAGCAGCGCTCGTTCTTGGTGCGCTTGGTAACCAAGCACAGAGTTCTTTCGTCCACCAGAGTGCTGCACCTCTGGAGGGTTTTTCCTTAGCAACCGTGGATCAACATGAGTTACTACAGTATAAGGTGAGGATAAACCATAACGCAGTTCTGTTGGTTGTGTTTATTTGGGATTTGTTCGCAGCGTAACGACAAACTCAGACGTTTAGTTACCGTCTCGTGAGAGAAAAACTACGAGCTGTCACCCACAACTTTTTGTGATAAAGGCAGTAGCGTCGCACTCCCTGGTTCAGAGGCTGCTAGCATTTAGCTTGTAAAGAATATCAAGCATTATCGCTCCGTAAAAAGACCGTTAAAGCGTGTGTGTTTGCCATTATGATGACTGGTGTGAATCCCTTAGCGGGGAACGCACTGACTCGGCGAACAGTCGTGATATTAAACCGTTATTAGGTGGAAAAGATGGAGATGGAGAGAAAACAAGCGCAACAACCCTGTGTTCAGTTCTGTTGGTGGAAAACTAACTCACAGCAATCCCTGTGTTTATTTAATCCTTAGACTTTATTCATCATAGCCTCTTATGGTTCGATTTTGACGTTTAACAGAACATTTTAATGCCCTATGCAAGGCTCAGACTAGTTTGAATACAAAGAAAGTGATATGTCAGAGCATGCCTGGCAGTCATCATTCCTCAAATATACATAATCTGTCACATCCATTAAAACATTTACCATGTACGTCTGTAAACCAGTGAATCGTGGATTTATTTTCAGCTGAGTGCACAAAACATCATCCTGAAGTTATTGTGGCAACAGGATGAGTCTGTTGCAGAAAGCATCAGAATGCCTCTACTACATAGTTTCAGGGAAGAGATCTGCTTTCTTTTTTTAGGGAGATAAAAATCAAAATAAACCCACCCTTTCCTGTTGCAGTGTTTAGATTTTATCAAGTTCTTGGCAATTAGCGGTCACCTGAGACTTTGATAAATGCCGAAATTTGTGTTAGATATAGATAAACATTCATCTGCTGCGTTGTGTTGTTGAAATACCGAAATCTAGCCAGATTATCATGGTGAAAAATCCAGCTATGAATGATATTTTATGTTTCTGGTTTCCTCATGAAGATTTCATAGGTAAACTCTTTATTTCTTCCCCGCTTTTCCTTTAACTGCTAATTACCGAGTCAGTTGGCAGATTCGTGCAGCTACAAATCCCAGATTGTGCATGCTGGGATTAACATTTGAGATGTCACAGTTTTTATGACAGCAGCATCTAAGGAAGTGTTGCAAGGACCGCTTCCATGAGTCACCCATAGAAAGTGATGGCAGTTTTGCTGCCTTGTACTTTACCTGAGTTAGGGTTTTGTTGTTGTTGTTGTTGTTGTTGCATATGCTCATCTGAAACATTCTCCTGGTTGTGTTGATGAAAATTATACCAGAGTATTTGCTTTTTGTTGACTCTTTTTATGTGCACAATTTAGATGGAATGGTTACCTTAGTTGGACACTTCATCTTCCACGATTGTTCCATGTCAAATAAAATTAAAAGCAACCTCCCTCAGCAACTTAAAGAGCGTCACCCCCAAATCGGCTTTATTTGCTGATAAACCATATAAATAAGTGTCTAATCGTGCGGTAGACACACATAGTCAATGATTTGGCACTTTAGTGCATTTTATTAAAAATTTAAAATTGCTACCTAAAACTGTCAGTGTTGCGCCCTCTTCAGGTAAAAACTGCACTGCATTTGAATTGAACTCCTTCACTGCCAGCCGTTTCCTGATCAGAAAAGCCCTAAGATGCCAGCATTTTTACTGTTTTTTTAAGAGTGACAGAACGTTGCACGCTAGGATGATGTCAACGCCAAAACTACCAAAACAAAGGGTAGACTCACCTCTTACATCAGGAAGAATCCGCGCATTTCGAGCGTTAGCCGTCTTTTTATAATTCGTTGTCGAATTGTGATCGGCAGAAGCATTTTCGGTTTGCGTCTCACTTTTTTTTGTAAGCAATGGCCAAAAACAATCTCCTAACACATGGATTTTCTGCTTACTGATCATGTGACGTGTGACGTACGCGGATAAAGATCGGCTTTAGAGCGTTGATGTGTGTTCTCGTGGTGCAGGGGCTCATTCCGACGGCCACACAGTAAAAAATTGCAAATCACGACTTTAGTCATCATTGGAAAAGTTGATTTGGGGGTGACTTGCTCTTTAGAGAGCAAGTCACCCTCAAATCAACTTTTTTTTTGGTGATAAACTATATAAATGAGTGTCTAATTGCTCTGTAGACACGTTCAGTCAATAATTTGGCACTTTAGTTAATCTTAGTTAAAATTTAAGTAATCTGCCTAAAACTGTCAGCGATGCACCGTCGTCAGGCAAAAACTCAGGACTGCATTTGAATTTAAATCTGCCATCGCTATTGGCTAAGAGGTACATTATGATGTTAGATGGTACATTATGATATCACAATGTCTTGAGTGTGTGTATTTGTTAGTGGCGCCGCCCTCTCGGTCTGCTAGGCAACAGCATTTGATGCATTTTTCAAACAGGAAGTGGGAGTTGAGTAAGAATCTGGCAGGGGGTGACTTGCTCTTTAAATATGGCATTGCTATTGGCTAAGAAGTACCTTATGACGTCAGCTGATACCATATGTTGTCACAATGCTGTTGTGAGCCTGTGTGTTTGTGTGTTTGTTAGCGGCGTCGCCCTCTCGGTCTGCCAAGCAACAGCATTTGTTGCATTTTTTAAACTAGAAGTGGGAGTGGAATAAGACTCTGGTAGGGGGGTGACTTGCTCTTTAAAGTATGCTTTGTGGAAGTATGATTAATGTATTTATTGAATTCCACACACAAATGGCCCCACATAGCTCTGCTAGTTGCTCTTATGCTTAGAGGAGGTTTAAGGAGCATTTCTGGCTTATGTTTTCCCCTTGTTGCCCGTTAGAGAACTGTGTAAATGTGACAGAATTTCCACGGTGAATCATTCTTTTAGGAGAGTGTTTGCAACAAGCATCGCCAGTAGCGAGATAAGCCTACATACAAAAATGAAGAAATTGTCTAAACATAGAAAACCGTCTTTCTTGGAGAGTCGTGACATCAGCAGATTGTAAGAGTCCCATTAGAAAACGCTATTATCAACTACTCTAACTGCTTATTTCCATCATTTGTTTGCAGCTCAGTAATTAGTCCCTCAGGTGACGGAGTCCCTCGTTCCTCCTCACTTACCTCACAAGCGATTTAACATTTGTATTTTACAACAAACACAATGTAATCCTAAATCTTTAGAGTCTTATTATGTTTTATCTTTGTCTCACATTTGTAAATAAGTTCACAAAAACATCAAACACACGGAAGCCTCTGGTCTCCTAGCAACCAGATTAGGGTCCCTGCATCGTGCCTCTTTGTTAAAGATTTCCGTTGTGCTGAATCTTTGAAGAGGAATCTATTTCAAGCTCCATAACCTTCCACTATTTCTTAATCCCAGACCGAGCGTGTTTGCGGTTTGATGCACGCTGTGCCCGCTAGTGAGTCACAGAAAAAGAGCTGCGGCAGAGTTTATCAGGACGTCTCTGGAAAGTTGTTGGAGACCTGACGTGGTGGTGACTCGTTTCCACAGACAGATTCATCTAGCCGTGTCTCGTGTAACGGAGCCTTTTGAAGCTACATCTTTCTCTTCGTTCCCGGCTGATGTTTTTCAGTCCTCTGGCATTTGCTGAGTCTCTCGTACGTGTATCTCTTGCTAGGTCCCTGAGCTTTGTCTGAAGTCATGGTAACAGCACAAGCTTCACAACCTCGGTCTGTCTCTTTGCCGGCTGGCTGTCACTCCCATGGGTGGGATGTAGTACAGCTTCTCTCACTGTGAACATTTACTAGAGGTCTTATAGGTCTTTCTGCTGAAAACTGAGCCGAACTTTGATGAAAAGGTGAATGAAGATTTCCGTCGTGCTTTAAGTGGTTGCCTGTGTTTGCGTCCATGGACACCGTAAAGACTGAAGGAGCCCACCCCGCTTACAGCCGCTGGTCGTACAGGTAGCTGCACATTCAAGCAGATATGCACATGTTAAAGAAACATTTGTTTTCTTGTACGTTTCATCCTTTGTAAGGAAATATTGAAGTTGCAAATCGGCCCGTGGCGCTTCTAAAATTACTCTAACTGTAACGTTTGTTCCAGCTATCGCCTCACATCTTTTAGCTAGTCGGTGGATTCACTGACTTGCAGTCAGGCTGTTCCTCTTGCTCATGTTTCTGCTATCATGGTCGTTACTTATTCAGAGCATCAGGCTGTGACTCTGGATATCGTAACCAGAGTTGGTGATTGTGTCTCGCCAACTCTTTGAGTGTGTTTGATTGTGTGTGTGTTGTTGTTGTTGTTGGCTACTTGATTGGAACATTCACGTAATGAAAGGGCTGAGAGAATTTATTTGACTTATTAATAAAATAGCCAAAACAATAGCTTAAAGGTCGACTTCACTAAAAAAAACATTTTAAAATGATTATTTCTCATTTAAGTCAGCCACTCTGAGTTTTTCATGCAGGCAGAACATGAAAATAGTCTCCTACACCTATCTCCTGCATTAGCTTCTGACGGAAAATTGATGATGAAACTCTAGGATTAGAAAATCCTGACAGATCTACATCACACTGTCACTTATCATTCATGGACTCACCCATCCTGACTCACGACAGGGAAGGCTGTTGTTTTAGCATCCAGGAAACAGCAGAGCACGTCTCAGCTAGTAGAAGCTAACTGTTAGCATTAGCAACTCCACCACACAGCAGAACTCCACTAGGCTTGTGTTATTTGTGGAGACAAAACTTCAACATTGCAGAGCAAGCAGAGCCGGTGGTAGAGTCGTGTTGCTGTTAGCCAATCAGAGGAGAGATGTCCAGATGTCAGGAAATAAAACTCCAAATCCTGCCGTCTTCAGCTGCTTTTTCCTCCGGCTAAATTCTGCGTCCTTAAACAGATGCACCGGAGCTTTTCGCCTTTTTATTACACGAGAAAGAAGAAGTGAACAGAAGCAATTCAGTGTGTTGTTGATGGATGATGCTGAGACACACACACGCATACACACATAAGTTCAATATTATCATGTATCTCCCAAGGATCCATATGCTGCAGTCTGTAAGCTCTGCTCAGAAATTACCAAAGAGGGCTGACTGAAGAATGTTCGAGGAAGAGCTTCAGTGTATTTTTGTGTGATTTTTTTTCCCCTATTTGTTTCCACATGCTGATGCAAAGAATTAGAGATCGACCCATGTGGGTTGTTCAGTTACTGATGCCGATATGTAGAGGTCATGAAGAGCCAAAGACTAATATGTACTGCTGATGTTCTGGGTCAATTTTCATGGTTGAAATCTTGACATTTCTCTCGACATTTGCATTCTGTCACACTAAAAACAGCTGATTAAGAGTAGAATAGAATAGAAAAGACATTATTGATCCCATATTGGGGAAATTCACTCATTAAGGCAGCACACACCTTTAGTATTTGGTATTAAATAAAAACAGTTTTACAAACAGAGGTTAATAAAAAGAAACATCAGTATAGAAAATAACTGTCACAGCAAAGATAAAGCTGGGCAATAAACCAAAAATGTATCATTATCTAAATTTCTGACTCTTTTCGAGATGATTTTTCTGATGTCAATAAATTTGATAATAAAAAATGAGAAGATGTGTGTAGGTTGGCAACGTTCATGTCCCTTTCAGAAGCCGTACCACCTTGACTCACGTAAAAATGTGACTCAACGTAATACATGTGACAGCCCCATCTAGTGGACAACTTTTGTGTCTGCACATACCTGTAGTTATCGCCCATTTATCGTTATCGAGGTGAATTCCTTAATATATTGTGATATTGATTTTTGGCCATTTCGCCCAGCCCTATTATAAACTAAATAAAGATGGTGCTAAAAACACAGTTAGAAACCTGCTGAAACACACCAGCAACATCCAAAGTCCCTTTAATCCTTTTTGGTTTTTCCTATTATTCTTAAAGAGCAAGTCACCCCCTACCAGAGTATTACCCCACTCCTACTTCTTGTTTGAAAAATGCAACAAATTCTGTTGCCAGGCAGACTGAGAGGGCGGAGCCGCTAACAAATACACACACACAGGCTCACAAAGACATTGTGACATCATATGGTACCAGCTAATTTAATAGGATAGCTCTTAGCCAATAGTGATGGCGGATTTAAATTCAAATGCAGTGCAGAGTTTTTACCTGACGACGGCGCAACACTGACAGTTTTAGGCAGAATATTTAAATTAGAACTAAGATGCACTAAAGCACCAAATCACTGACTACACGTGTCTACAGCACGATTAGACATTCATTTGTCTCGTTTATCAGCCAAAAAAATGAGATTTGGTGGTGACTTGCTCTTTAACACCATCTTCGTGAATGGAAGCTCTTGGCATTACAGTAACACACACCTCGTTTCTGAGACGTGCATGTGCCTGCGTTTAAATCAGCTCTGCTGAAGAGGGACATCAGCTGATGCTGAGATGTATAAAACAGTCAATAACAGACCGATATATCAGAAGGAATTAAACATTTCACCTCGTCAGCCCTCATTTGTGTGTGGATTCTCTTCCAGCTGGAGGTTGAACGCTTTTGGCAGGAATGACGTCCTTCTCATTCTGAGTGTAAATTCCATGCTGAAGTGGCAAAGTCAGATGCATTTAATTAAAGCGAACAAAGTGGGTGGCAGTTTGATCATAACTTTCACTGAGAAGGTTTTGTTTTATTTCTTTCAAATCCAGGATGAGAGCGCAAACCTCCAAACTTCATGTGGTAAAACCCGTATTTTCAGATTTATACCTAACAAGTTGAGTATGCTTCACAAAGCAGCTGTGAGCAGAGGGAGCCCGGGTAAACATTTTGGCTTTCAGCAGAACCGCTCAGTCTGTGAGTCTTTGCAGCAAAGTGCTAAAGGCCTCCAATTACCGCGAAGCCCCCCGGTATGTGACTCCAGCTTTTTAATCAGTGCTGGTGGAGCTGTGCTGTTGACGGAGCCACAATCGCCATGGTTACCTTGGTCTGACACACAAGGAGGGGACAGATTTGGTGTGTCCTTCTTCTGTCACCTAAGCTGTGACCAACTACTGAAACATTGATCGCTCACAGCTGTGATGAGACACTCTCGAGCTGTTTCTGTGTGTGTCTCTGCCCGTTTCCTGAACATGATGAAATAAATCCCCCAAGCCTCAACCTGCTCAGTTATTGAACAAGATACGTTAAAGAACCGATATTCGTACCATTTTTGTTTCTGCTTTTATCATCTAAGTCGAGCTACCAGACATATAACTCATCACACTTTTACCTGTGAGATTATTAAGGTCACAAATCCTTCTCCGTTAGAGGGTGTGTTGTTTGTTTTTATTTTTACTGACGCTGAACTGATTTCATCCTTTTGCTTTCCACATTTCCTGCTCTCCTGATTCTACCCGGAAGACCATCTAGCTCTGCCAGCTTCTCTTCAAACTCAACATCAAGGTACACAACACTAAACCTTTACACAGACGCAGCTTAGCTTTCAGAATGAAAGGCTAAAATCACACAGACATGATGGATAGAGCAGTACAGGCAGTCCCAGGGGCTGAGCAGTTTGTGAAGAGATTTTACTGCGCTGGTCCCAAATCCAGGTTAAATTACTTTCCTACAGTATATTTGTAATTAAGAGGTGCTGTCAGCCTCCACTCTCCTACCTTCCCCTCTAGAAATGTAAGAAAATATCGATATAGCAATATATCGCAATATTTTTTTCCTGCGATATTATATCGATGTTCAAAAGCTGTGTATCGATTTTTTTAGAAGAATTTATGTGCAAACATTTGCGTATTTTCTTTTCTTTTGGTGCAAATAAAATGTCGTCCGCTAGTCAGCAGTAGTGTGCAATGGAGTTTGTTTCCACCACTGAAATGTAAATCCCTCTAGCATGGTTCAGATACCTCATGTTAATCATGTTAAGTATCAGTTTGGACCATTTATTGAATTTTCCTACAATAATTTTAGTCTAAAAAATCGCTAATATTGTCCGACTGAATGTATCGCAATATATCGTGATATATCGTATCGTCTCCCCTGTATCGTGATAAGTATCGCATCGCCAGAATTTCACCATTACACATCCCTATTCCCCTCCATCACCAGCCTGTTCTCAGGTGCCATAATGGCCTCCCAGGGGACCCATACGCAGGCCAACAGGGAGGGGTGCTTACTGAAGGATGTATTAGTCATTATATGACACTGTGGTGCAAGATGACAGATTTTGACAAAGGATAAGATAATGAGTCACGACTGTGTTGGCAGCTACAGATGATGCAGCCTTACTGGAGGGTTCTGCTTCTGCGGACTTCGTCCTTCATAGACCTTACATTTTATGTGTCAGTGTCTGCAAATTATGAAGAAGTTGGGAAAAAAAAACTCAAAATATCTGATTCCCATGAAGAGAAGTGGTGTCAGACTTAAAGGTCTCGTTCACTGAGGAACAGTGTCATGCTTGTTTTAAAATACGATCGTGCACGTGCACACTGGAAGTAAACATTTTCTCCTGCATTTCCCAAAAGGCAATAGATGGGAACACTATCTGCTCAGAAAAGCCAGTCTCTTCTACGTAACAGGGAGAACGAGTGTTTGGCCCCGCCCACATTGGCTTGAGACCGCAGAAGGCTGTGTTGATTTAGCAGCCAGGAGAGAGCAGAGCGCGTCTCAGGCATAGATATGTATACAAACACTAGATGGCTCGTCCCCGCCGTTCGCCAGTGGGATGCGACGTAGGAGCGTGGCGGCCATCTTACCTCAGACAGCTGCTCCCTTTCTTGACATTGAGGTGTATGGTGCATGTACTATTTAAAACACTCTAACTTGCTCAATTTTCAACAGGTTTGATTTGTTATAAACGCCAGAGATGTGTCTATGAAACAGGATGGGTCTGGCCCAGAAATTCCTGTTATTTCACTCCAAAAGCATTTAATCTTTCATAAATAACACATTTAATTGTATACATAGCCTATCATTATATTATATAGATCTGTCTATATATATTCCTGGTTTGTGAAATAGGATTTGTGTAGAGATGAGATTTCAAGGTTCTTTTGAGGTAAAGCCTACGTTAACAGAACACATACAAAATGTGCACCCCAACAAATAAGACAGTCGACACCCAAATCACTTCTGTCAGCCAGAACTGGACCACCACCCAGCAAATGATTTTGTATTTTCACTATTTCTTAACTTTTGTTTTCTTATTTATTGACTTTAATTTATTAATTATAAGCTCTTTGAAAATGATTTCTGAAAAAAGTTAGGTAATAATGAAAAGATAGATTAGGTTAATAAATAAGATGGATTACAGTAATAAATAAGATAGATGGACAATAGATTGATCTTGTGAAGGAGATTTTCAACATTGATAAAACCAGATGAACAATGTATAGAAGAAGGTAGCAGCAGCAATGGAACAGCAGTTTCAAATCATTTTATTTACATAAAAACAATTAACAGACTGAAAAATGTACAAGTATAGGTTTTCTTTGCAACAGTTACAGATGAAAGGTTGTCTCACTTTGTGACAGCGGCGACCTGTTCCCATCAAAGAGCCATTATTACCCGTTTCCCACAGTAAAGAAAACAATGCGAGCCACAGCAGCCGCGGCGTTGTGGGCGGGGCCTACCCTCAGACAGCAGAGAGCTGCTCACAACAGGTGACAGCAGCCGGTACCGGTCGCTCGTGTACGTCAAAGCTATCTTTCATAAGACGATAATCAATAAAACGATTTATATAAACTGGATCCAGAAGTTGTAGCCCGTCTCTGCCTACAATATTTTGATATTTTTCACCCTGTTGGTGGTTTTACTGAGCAGGTGCCACTTTTGTCATTCGTTTCTTTTTAAAACATGTTTAGACTGTTCAGAATACAAATCCAGGCTCTGCCACGTTTGATTGTTGTAATTAAACTGTGTAGGTGGGGAAGGTCAGAAAAGGATCCGATCATTTTGTTTTTCCCTCATTTTTACAGTGACGGAGATAATGGCGCAGTGCACCTGGCTCTGGTGTTAATCAAGTTAAATTATATCTCTTTGCAACAATTTTCACAAGAAAACAGAACAGTTAAAAGCAGGGCTTGTGTTGACCGGACAGTTCCCGTATTTGACCGTTTATTTTGACGGAGAAAGAATTACCCCGACGCATGCAGACAAACTGACATTTTATTCGTTTCGCACATCGCAGATGTAGCTAAATCACTCAAGAAATTATTACCATCTGAACATCTGAGCTGGACACTGCTCAGCGCAGCTCTCTGTCAGCGTGTACTACATAAGGTCCACAGCGAGCTGAAGATGTGGAGAGGGGCTTGGAGCACGTCGCAGAACCAGAGCGCATGCAGGAAGATTCCTCCGACTGAAGCGAGACTTGTCTTTTAGAAAATGTTCCCTGATTATGAAACTTTGGCTGAATAGTGCTTGTTCCTGTCTCCAATGTGGCGACACATCCAGGAGCCGTCTGAGAATCTCAGAATCCCAGAATCTCACGTCCTCGTCAGCTCAGAATGCACCGATATGATTACGCACAAGCGTGACGCGTCAACCCGGTCTCACAGTAAGACCGGGTTGGACCTGTTCAGGTTTACGCAGACAATCTTTACATTTAGAATTGGCATACAGATATAAAATTAATGCAGTAAAATATAAAGCATTTTATTTAAATATCCATTCATTATTTTACAAGCACAGAGAGCCGCATCAGATGGATGGAAGAGCCGCATGCGGCTCCAGAGCCGCGGATTGCCGACCCCTGACATAGACATAGGGAGAAAATCACGTTGCTGCATCGATGCGGAATCATGCACGGCTGAATCGTGATGCATCTTAGAATCGATCATTTTTCCCACCTCTCTTGCCCATGGTGTCCCACAAGGTTCTGTGCTGGAGCCTCTGCTCTTCCTCCTCTATCTGCTTCCTCTTCAGCAGATCCTGAGCTCCTTCAAAGGAATCTCCTACCATCTTTATGCAGATGACATCCAACTGTACATCTCCTTTAAGCCCCATGAGATGTCTAAGCTGCAGCTGTTACACACCTGCTTAGACTCTATCAAAACCTGGATGGCTGGGAGCTTTCTTCAGCTGAATGAAGATAAGACTGAGATCCTCATTTGTGCCCCAGACAAGCTGGTTCCCAAAGTCAGGGAATCTTGGCGTGACCTTTGACCCAGCTCTCACCCTGGATTCTCATGTCAGTTCTCTTGTTCGCTCTTCCTTCTTCCATCTCAGAAACATTGCTAAGCTGAGTCCCATTCTGTCCCGCTCTGAACTTGAGACAGTTCTCCACACCTTCATCTCCTCACACTTAGACTACTTTAACTCTCTTTTCACGTGTCTGAGCAGAACCTCCCTGAACCGTCTACAGGTGGTTCAGAATGCCTGTGCTCGGCTTCTGACCAAGTCCTCCAAACACACCCACATCACCCCGCTTCTCCTCCAGCTTCACTGGCTGCCAGTCAACTTCAGGGTTCATTTCAAGATCCTGGTTCTGGTCTATAGGGCCTTCCATGGACAAGCACCATCTTACATTGGTGATCTTCTTAGTCCCTACACCCCCAGCAGGTCCCTGAGGTCCAGTGATCAAAACATCCTGGTTGTGCAGCACCAGGCTAAAGGTCAAAGGTGACAGATCATTTGCTGCTGTGGCCCCCAGACTCTGGAACTCTCTCCCCCTGAGCCTGAGATCAGTGGACTCAGTGGTCTCCTTCAAAAAGCAGCTGAAGACTCACTTGTTCAAGCTGGCTTTTGTATGACCTTCTTCACCACTCTCTCTTTATTCTGCTCTCCCCACCTATTCCACCTTCCTCAGGATCCACTGATTTCCCTCTTTCCTGTTCACTCTCTCTCTTTCTTTACATTTTTTATCACAATTGTCGATTTTTTGCTCTTTTTAAATATATTTTAAAATATTTTCTAATTTTCTTTAAATATTTTTACATTTTTTGTTTTTTTGAAGCGCCTCGTGATTTTTATCTTGAGAGGCGCTATAGAAATGATACTTTCTTCTTCTTCTTCTTCTTCTTCTTCTTCTTCTTCTTCTTCATCATGGTGGAACACATTCACACTTGTGTTATTTGTGGAGTTAAAACATCAACGCTACATTCTTTACCCAAGAAAGAAGAACAAATGAAGGCAGCGGAAGAGTCGTATTGCTCTAACCCAATCAGCAGAGAGACATTTGCATAATGAATATTAATGAGTAAGATCCGTAATCCTGTCGTTTTCCAGCCCCCCCACTCCAACAAACCTCTACCCCCTGAAACAGCAGCACGTGAGCTTTTTCTCCACTAAAACAGGTTCATTATTCATACTGGAGACCACCACAGAGTTATGGAAACAAGAGAATCAGACCAGTAAAGACTGGTCCTCTTCCAGCTGTTTTCAGCCTCGGAGGACATGTGGCATTTAACCATTTACTCAACAGGAAAGGATAAAAGAGAAATGAGAGTCCTGCTCATCACATCAGCCTGTGATTTGTGAGTCACTTGTGTACGTTTGACGGGGAGATACGAGCTGCCGCAGGGCTCAGAGTCAGACTGCTGTGCCCCCGTCTCGCTGTAGCCTAGCAACATGCGCTCGGTCCCTTCAGACAGGTGTCGAAGGTAAATGAGCAGACGCTTCCGGACTCCTCTGATCCAATGAAGATTTTAGATGTACTTTTCTACAAGCGTCCCTTTTTACTGCTGTTGTTCTGATATTTAAATGTTTTATTAAACAGATCCCCTCTCATTGACTCATAGAAATGTAACTGTCACCCTCCACTGGTGCGATGATGCCATTACATCACGTATTTATGTTCAAACAAGTGGAAAATCATGACTTGTCTTTGCTTTTCCCCACAGTGGCATAGAAGATGACAGTGTCAGTTTTATGCAGCAGAAACTGGAACGACAGGTAGGAAATACGTTTGTGTAGCACTCTCTAAGAAAACCTGCTCAAACTCTTGTCCAGTTAGGCTTTTCCATTCACGCTTTTGCCATAAATGTTGTTCCACAAACTTATTCTGGAATTGGAAAGCTTTTTTTTCCCCTCCCTTCTCAGCCAACGGTAATGTTTGCAATAAAACTGTAGAGCAGAGCTTTGATTTGAGATGAAGTCGTAGCTCTTAAAGAGCAAGTCACCCCCTAACAGATTCTTACTCAACTCCCACTTCCTGTTTGAAAAATCAAGGATGTAATCAAGGATGCGAAAACGATATTTACTTTCAAAAAACGAATTAAAAATGAAATACTGGAGTCATATATGTGCAAATCAATGATATAAAAAATAAATAAATAAAAATAAAGCTATAGAAGATGTGTGTAGGTATATTCATGTGTGTATGTATAAATATGTATGTATGTTTGTGTATGTGTATATGTAGTGGATACGTGTGTATGTCTATAGTATATGTATAGATGAAGTATGTGCGAGCGTATGGGCATGCGATGCACTTTAATGTATATATGTATGAATAGGTATATGTGCAAAAATCCTTTTGCTTTTTGAATTTTTATTATTATTACTATTAATTTTCTCTTTCTTCTTTACAATTTGAACTCAAGTCAGCTAACCAGTCGAGCAATTACTTTGTATAGGCTAATTTATAATTATTGTTATTTCAGTGTAAAATGTCATTTTAGTTAAAAAGGGGCAGATAACATAAGTTAAATGGTAAATGGCCTGTATTTGATATAGCGCCTTCTAGAGTCCTGGAACCCCTCAAGGTGCTTTACAACACAATCAGTCATTCACCCATTCACACACACATTCACACACTGGTGGGGATGAGCTACAATGTAGCCACAGCTGCCCTGGGGCGCACTGACAGAGGCGAGGCTGCCAAGCACTGGTGCCACCAGTCCCTTTGACCACCACCAGCAGGCAAGGTGGGTTAAGTGTCTTGCCCAAGGACACAACGACAGCAACAGACTGAGTGGGGCTCGAACCTGCAACCTTCCGATTACGGGGCGAGCTCTTAACTCCTGTGCCACCGTCGCCCCCAGTTTTCTTCCTTCTGTTCCCTTTTCATTTTCTTGGTTTGAGAAACCTCATTTTATTTGTTCGTCTTGTTTTTTTTCTATTTTAATAATAAATGAAATAAGTAATAAAAAAAAATGCAACAAATGCTGTTGCCTAGCAGACAGAGAGGGCGGAGCCACTAACAAATACACACACACACAGGCTCACAATGACATTGTGACATCATATGGTACCAGCTAACGTTCTAGGGTACCTCTTAGCCAATAGCGATGGCAGATTTAAATTCAAATGCAGTGCAGAGTTTTTACCCACTGACAGTTTTAGGCACAAATTGAAAATTTTAACTAAAGTGCAAAACTATTGATTACACGTGTCTGCAGCACGATTAGACACACATTTATATAGTTTATCAGGGGAAAAAAAGTTGATTTGGGGATGACTTGCTCTTTAAAGTCCAGTTTATAATGAAATAAATCAAACTTTTTTCTTGTTGACGAATTGATTTGCTTTTCCAGATGTTAGAGTTTCAAATGTACTTTTAAACAAATAAAGGTCAGAGGAGATCTGTGTTGATGCCTTGCTTAGAGCACACCTCTTTCTCTCTCCCTCTTTCCTATATCGCTCTTCTGTGTAATGATCGTTCATTCTGTTGGCAACAGACACACACACACACACACACACACACACACACACACACACACACACACACACACACACACACACACACACACACACACACACACACACACACACACACACACACCCACGTACACACACATCACACTCCAGTACATGGTTGTAAGATGTGGGTATTCGGTGCAGAGCAGACACATCCTGGCTGTTGATGTCTTTATTTAACCCATGAAAACGTGACGCTTTTACTTTGATGGAACTAAAACCTTTTGGAGAATTCAATGGAACGGGTTTGTACCTTCTATTCTCCTTTGTCTTAGTTTATTTTTCATATGTGTGAATTGTGGCGTGTGAAGTAGTTGGGAGTTTTTAAAGATAAAAAAATAATCTATCAGTAATTTCATTGTTAGCATTCATCTTTTTTGTGGATTCTGAAAAAGACTCTTTGCAAAATCTCATAAGAATTCCAATCTAGTGCGTGCCTCACTTCCTTTGCATTGGCGTTTAGGCAGGAAGGATTGGGAATGCCTTAATGAAGTCACATCCTGATCTGTAAATGCCAAGTTCTCAGTCTTAACAAAATACTTGAGCATTGCACACCAGGCCGGATTCAAATAGCCTGCTTGGGTTAGGGTTAGGGTTAGCCGGCTGTGTTGTAGTTCTGGTTTTGTAGCAAAACGTCAGCATCCTGTTTTCACACAGTCGGAAGAACAGGAGCAGAGAATAACAGATGTCCTAGAATTGTTTGCAGAAAGACGGATGAGTTGTGAAAGCTTTTTGGTCTGAGAAATATGAGACAAAGCTTCCTGGTCCCTTCTGGCTCACTAGGCAGCATCTTAACGGGATTTGTTGTTGTGCATTTGGCATGTTAATTTTAATTATGCTTGCATAACCCATCAGCAGGTCTGAATTGTATACACCATGGGGAATTTTCTGGAGTCAAATGCATTAAATCCTACCAGGAAGTGTGGTTTTATCCATCTAATGCCGGTTCTTTTCTCACCGAGACAGTCAGGTTGCATCGCATCATGCATACTTTACGTCTAACGGTCTGTTACGTTTGTGTCCACAGAGGGCGCTGCTGGAGCAGAAACAACGGAGGAAGCGTCAAGAACCTCTGATGGTCCAGCCCAACACAGAGGCTCGGCCCCGTCGCCCCAGGACACGGCGTGGCGAGGAACAGGCCCCGCTGGTGGAGCGTCTGCTCAACGGCACCAACGACGTCCTCATAGAAGGTAAAGGAAAGCGCCAGAGCTTCCACACAGACAAGCCGATCTACGCGGGTCATTGTTGAAACTTTTCTCTCCTTTAGGAATCGATGGTCCTGCAGCTTTCCTCGGCTCAGAGACACCAGACATGGGAATGACAATTCAGATTCTGTCAGTGAGCCAGACCGAGTCCCCTAAGTCCGTCTGTCAGCCTCAGCCTGAGTCCCCCACGGCTGAGGAGACAGTGGGAGTCGGAGACACGGAGACACTGATAGGACCCAAGATCGATATCCAGGAGATGCTGCAGAAACAAGGTAAACTTAACACAAAGTGGGAAAATGTGCAATTCCTCAACTCATTCTTTATATGTATAACGACTTACGGCCATAAGGTGCGTCACAGACATGAAAAAAGAAAAAAAAACAAGATAAAACCAACAAAAAAGACAATAAACAGTGAGACAAATTATATGGGAACCAGAGGTAAATGCCAAGTCAGACTTGTTTTATTAACCGCCACTGAGGTAGAAGCCCGTGTGAACCGGGGAAGCTCGTTCCAAAGCTTCGGACCTGCCACTGAGAAGGCAAGGCAACTATATTTGTGCAGCACCTTACAACGGAATAAAACCGACCAAAGTGCTTCGCAGACATTAAAAACATTAAAAACAATGCACAACCTAAAAATGCATCAAAACTAAAGCTTAAGAACCAACACTGATAAAATATTAAAAAGACTCATGCTGAGTTAAAAGCCAAATCATAAAAATGGGTAAAACATTTTTTTTATTAGAACATTTATTCTGTTTTTATGGCAATGTAAAAACCAAACAACAAAAATACCACAACACTTTAACATAACAACAATAGTTTCCAAGACAACAGAACAGGAGTGAGATGAAGAAAAGCTCTTAGCACCATTAACCCTTTCAGACCTAAACCTTAGAATGGCCATCTGGACTTTTCCTTCCTATTTTAGCTGAAAAAAGGCTAAACTATGTGGAACAATTATGAAATAATTTAATTCGATTCTTGGATTTTTTTTAAAGAGACTTTATGGACTTTTTAATTTTTATGCTCGAGATTGCCCCCTCAGGCCAAAAGCGTTACGGCAGCTTCAATAGTAGGCTCGTGCACGAGGCGCGCATGCTGTACGTGCACACTCCTTAACGAAAATAGCTGAGACAGTCCCTTGTGTGTGTGTGTGTGTGTGTGTGTGTGTGTGTGTGTGTGTGTGTGTGTGTGTGTGTGTGTGTGTGTGTGTGGCCCAGAGGACAGAGGACAAGAGAACGTGCAGCTAATTAATTAAATACTTTTGTTCTGTACCTTTCTCTTCAGCACAGCCGACAAAGGTTTATGATGGGTCAGTCCTCCTGCATGCTCAGATCATTCCCTTCCCTTGCTTGAAAAATTGTTCCAAAATGAAAGTTGAACCCACATCTTTTTTATCTGTGAATTCAATGCCGTTCGGTGAGTCTCAAATAAAAATTTGGGCATCTTACTGTAAAAAATATACCATTAATGTAAACAAGAAACTCTAAATAAACTATGCTCACATCCAGAATCAAACCCAGGTCTTCTGCACAAGAGTCCGACGTCTTACTAGGTGAGCTAAAGCGCCAGTGATGTCCTTTGCATCTGTAACATTTATATCCTTGATGACAGCTGAAACAACGTTCAAAGAACGGTTCGGAGCGAAAATGGCTATTTTGTTGCTAATTTGCAGGAAATATCTAGAAGAAAGTTCTACAGAAAGTAGCTAAGGGTCCTCAGAAATGTAGCTAGGTTCATCACTAGGCGTTAGAAACAGCGACATAGTCGCTGAGTTGGCACTGCCTCTCTCTCTGCTGCTAAAGCTACGGATAGCAAATGCTACGGGCTATGCCTGAGCGTGAACACTCATGAAGCAGCCTGCTCGACCCGAGCATCTCTCTTTTTCTGTGATTTTACAGAAAAACAGGCAATCACAGTAAAAATGCCAGGGCTCATTCTACAGGACCAGGGCATTGCAGGAGAATGTATGAAGAAGACATTTATTATTTCTATACATGTTTTGGCTGTCAAACTTCCATAATGTCCCTTTAAATAAAAAACAATTCAGAAATGATTTGTCAGTTTTATCATCGCAGCACCAAAGTGCCCCAGAGAACAAAATGAGGTCTCCTAGTCCCGAAGTGCACACCTCACCACAGAGCAGTGTTTCTTTTGCCTGTCTTTAGTCTTTTTATCACACCTGCATTTATATAGATTTGAAATGAATATTAAAAAAAAAACACCATTGAAATAAGTTTATTGTACAAGATGTTTCGTTAAACTCTGATTTGTTCTAGTTTAAAAGTCAGCATTGTTTGCATGACTAAATGTTCGTATGGTTTCGTACTTGTAGTTCTCAGTTTCAAAGGGCTGGTGACCCCTGGGTTAGATACAAACAAGTAGGTATTTTGAAGCAGTGATGATTATTATTATTTATTTTGAACATTTTAGCTTGATTTTTAGCTTAACATGTTACACACACTTTCAAACACACACAGTATGTGTGTGTTTGAAGGTTTCGTACAATATTCATTGTCTTGTTTTATGTAACCAGAGTAAATCTAATTATTTTCTTTGAAAACGCTTGAAGAAAACGGCCACAGTGTCGGTCTGATTTAACTAAGCCACATCTTCTGGAGTTCCTGCTGTTACCTTTGGCTCCAAGTCCTCGTGTCTTCCATCAATCTCTAAGTCCACCAGTCATATTTAACCATAAATCACTTTGTGTATATGAATCCAGATCAAAACTGATATTTTTGTCTCACTTACACAATAGTTGTGGCATCTTGTCTGTGTGGTGATAACCCACTAGCTATAGGAGCCCTGGGTCCATACTTGAACCATTTCTTTCAGGAGCGGTCCCATGAACTCTTTGGGTTTTTCTTCCTTCCTTCTTCCTTCTTCCTCTCTCTTCTTCCTCCACAAACTAAGAAGAGAAAGAGCACCAGCCCCCATCCTGTACACTTTCTACAGAGGCACCATCGAGAGCATCCTGTCCTGCGGCATCACAGTATGGTTCGGAACCTGCAACGTTTCCTGCATTAAAACCCTCCAACATATAGTGAGAGCAGCAGAGAAGGTCATTGGGGTCTCTCTCCCCTCCCTACCAGACATTTACAACACCCGCCTCACAAAAAAGGCCCTTCGCATTGCGGCTGATCCCACTCACCCGATGCAAAGCCTCTTCGAGCTGCTGCCGTCAGGGAGGAGACTGCGGAGTCTCAAGGCCAGGGCCAACAGACTGAAGGACAGCTTTATCCATCAGGCAGTTAGGAAGCTAAACTCCCTCCCGGCTCTCCCAACTCTCCTCTCTTTTCCCCCACTGTCTCTCTGAACTTGGTTACTGGTTTTATACTAAATTTTTATTTTCTATCTAGCGAGAGTTTGAGAGTAACATAATTTCATTTCTCTGTATGTCCTGTACATGTGGCAGAAGTGACAATTAAACTGACTTTGACTTTAAATGCACGTTTACAAAAAAAAAAAAAAAAGAGAGAAAAACTTCATTACTAATTTGATTTAACCCTCTGGCGTTGCAGATTTGCAACGTTAAAACCGACCTACCCGGTTACTCCACAAATGTATTTCATGAGCATTTTTTAACTCAGCAGTAACCCTGAAGGACTTAGTCGTTTGTCCTTTTATCAGAACTTATTTTGAGCCTGAGAGGGTTAAAGCTGAAGAAAGGGATTAAAGACTAGGCGAGTTTTAATAAACCTGAAAGCTCTGCAGACTTGTTTTCCCAGTCCCCCCCCCCCCCCGCTTTCTGAGGAGCTTTAATCCCAGTGGGACACCACTGCCTTCTGTCCGTGAACTGGAGTGCAGCTGCAGCCAAGACTCTCTCCTGGCTGATGAATCCAGTTATCAATGAAGAGACGGATGTCTCACGCAGTCCAGAACGACTTTAGCCTGCTGGAATCATTCTACATCTGCATGGCTCTGAGCCGTCAGCTGTGTAAAAACACACACACGGCTTTTTGTTAGGGTAAAGTTTTAGCAACACCGAATAATCATCGTGTGTTTTTCTCCCAGCCGAAGAGTTCACACCTCTAGAATAGTTCTGAACAACACGCCTCAGTGGTCTCCTAAGTGTTGCGTCATTTCTTGTGAAAATGTGTCGTATGAATTAGGGGTGCACCGATACGATACTGGTATCGGCATCTGCACCGATACCAATATCGGTGAAAGTTAACCGATACCGATGCAGTTGCTTGAAAATGGCTTCGCTGTAACTTGTCGTTTCTGTTCACCTAATATTTTAGTTTTGTGATGATTTCTGTTCATATATTTTACTTTTTATCTACCTCACAGTCTCTTCCTGTTGAAAGCAGAGAAGAAAATACAATCTGTGTTCCAAATCATTGCCTTTTTTTGTGTGGTAGAAGTATCGGTATTGGTAATCGGTGTCGGGGAGTACTCAGATCCAAGTATTGGTATCGTATCGGTTTGGAAAAAAGTGGTATCCTTGCATCCCCAGTATGAATAACCCCCAAATTCCACTACCTCCGCTCCGCCCCCGCCCTCCGCTGCCGCTCGCTTCCGAACTCAATTTTTACTGCTAGCCGCTCTGCAACGGCTCCGCTCCGGTGCGGAGACCTGAGGTGCGCAAACAAGCATGCGCAGGATTTTCGAGATCTTGCGATACAGTCCGAGCAATAAACGCGGAAGTTATCCAAACACCCGTTGTGTGGGAGAAGCATCGAAATGAACTGTTTAATCTGCCCATCATTTGTGTTGAGAGATCAGCAGTGTTTGGATCAACAAAGTGTGACTACTTTGATAGTGGAAACTGTATTTATGGCTTACTTTTGTGCATTTAAAGTTCAGCCGCCATTGATAGTTGTTAAAAGTTGTTAAACCTGTGCATATGAAACAAAAAACGCCTTTTGTTTATCGATTTATTGTGAAAAACGGAAGTTGTGCTTGCTCCTTTTCCTGTTGGGCGGTTGTGATTTCTGTCCATTTACTGCGGAGGTGCTCCGGCGTCCGGCCAAAATAGGATCGATTCTATTTTTGCCGGACGCCGGAACAGAGGGCGGCGCACGGCGCCGCACTGCCGGAGCACGGCCGCAGTAGTGGAATTGCTCTGACTGACTACAACGGGACCGATTTTGCTCCGGCGTTCGTGTCGGAGCGCAGCGGAGGGGAGGTAGTGGAATTTGGGGGTAAGAAGTATTACTAGGTCTACCTGAGGGACACTTGTGTGCCAAAACTGCAACGACCATGAAAAGATGAAAATTGCTTTTGCATCAGAGGATTTAAAAATAACCTTTGGGTTTTTTTTCTGTTGCATATAATGTTTTCCCAGTACAATTTGTAAAAATCGTCACGCTCTCGTACTTTTTTCATTGCGCCCGCCACCAGGTTTGTGCGGAAGCATGAACTTTGACGAAGCCAGCGAGAAAGAGGAGGAAGCAGAGGAAGAGCCGCCGTGTTCCCTGGACGCTCAGGGAGACGCTGACAGACCCGCTTCTGCTGCGAGCGGCAAAAACGTTCCTGTAAATAACCGCAAATGGCTTACACGTTCATCTGCCCCCCCCCCCCCCCCCCCCCCCCCCAAATAAACCCACAGCATCAAAATAAAACATGTCCTAACAAAATGTTCCAACTGTGCTTATTCCACACAGGAGGCTGGAATCCCTGGATCCACCTCAGCAGAAAGCTTAGCAACGGATATAGCGAATCTAGAGGAGTTTGTGTTGCGTCCTGCGCCACGTAACGTCACCGTTAAGTGCAGGATTACCCGAGACAAGAAGGGAATGGACCGCGGCCTCTACCCCACCTACTACATGCACATGGAGAGAGATGATGGCAAAAAGGTGCACCTGAAAGTCACAAACCGAAACTGTTGGTAATAAAACTTTATTTTAAGCTGGATTTACTTCACTTCCCAGGTGTTTTTGCTGGCTGGAAGAAAGAGGAAGAAGAGCAAAACATCCAACTACCTGATTTCAGTGGATGCCACCGATTTGTCACGGGGGGGAGAGAGCTTCATCGGAAAACTGAGGTAGAACAAGTGCTTCCGGTGTGATCCACCTGCCTTCAAATCAAGAAGGAGCTGGTAAAGCTTACGCTTGTGGAACGTAGGAGTCTGATGGTACATGTATCAATATTCAGATTTCATGGAGCTCTGTATGGGAACAAGGCGTAATGAGTTCCCTCATGGATGTGTGACTGTGTCCTACTTTAGCCAGCGGCACATGCAGCTGTGTCCAAATTCAGGAGCTGCATCCTTCTAAGACCCGGCTGACCCGGCCAACGTAGGCTGGTCTCTGTACCAAATACCGGGTCCTTCGCTGACCAGAGGGACTGGACTGAACGTCTGTGCAATCAGATCCGACCTTTACCTTGGTGTATGTCCTGTTGCCTAGCAACTATGACGGTGCTGACCAGAAGTTAAGTCAAAACGTAGGGGCACAAGCAGAGTTGCCTCTGTCCTTAACCAGAGGATATTCTCTACAGCTGGAGACGACATCGTAACTACCCACAGATCTGTTACACCCCTGAAAGCATTCCTTGAAAAACATCTAAAATGTTCTTAAATGTCAACTTTACTCATATTGGGGCAGCAGTAGCTCAACAGGCTGAGCGGGTTGTCCAGTAATCGGAAGGTTGCAGGTTCGATCCCGGCTCCGGACAGAGAATTCTGCTGTTGTGTCCTTGGGCAAGACACTTAACCCACCTTGCCTGCTGGTGGTGGTCGGAGGGTTCTGTGGCGCCTGTGCTCGGCAGCCTCGCCTCTCATCTCCACCAGTGTGTGAATGTGTGTGTGAATGGATGAATGACACACTGTAGTGTAAAGTGCTTTGGAGTCCTTACTCTGAGAGGCGCTATACAAGTGCAGGTCATCATCATTCATTTATATTATTAATACATTGCAGTGGTCTCTAGTAGGAATGAATGCTTTATAAGTCGTTCTCTGGGAGAAAAAAGCCTCCAGTCACCCGTTTCAGGAACTAGAAGTTAGCCAGATCAGAGCTGAGCTTCAGACGACAGGATTTGGAGTCGTATTTTCTGATATTTGGACATCTTTCCTCTGATTGGCTAACAGCAACATGCCTCTACTACTGACTCCATTTTCTTTGCAATGTTGATGTTTTATCTCCACAAATAACACAACCCTGAAGGAGGTCTGCCATGTGGTGGAGTCGCTATGCTAATGGTTAGCATCTACTAGTCGAGATGCACTCTGCTGTTTACTGGATGGGTACCATATTCGGTACTTTTTAAGGTACCGACCGAATTCCATAGTACCGACCGAGCACCGATTCATGTCGTTTCAAACGGTGCCTCGTTTCGGTACCCGTCCTTCATAACGAGAACTTGCCAATACAACTGCGCATGCGCAAGAGCGTTATGTCGTCGGTCGCTGCGAGCGAGTTGTAAACAGAGCAGCATGGTAGAAAGAACGCACCATAAAGCTTGGGTCCACTTCACTAAATGTGATGGGTAACTGGGTGATGATGAAACCAGTGACAGACAACGATCTAAGTGAGAAATCCTCATCTTAATCTGCTCCGGTAGGTAAATAAAATGTTTAAGATAACGTTACCTTGATATTTCAGCTTCCGTTTCGCTAATGGTGCGTTCGCTTTCTCCTCGGAACTCCGAATTTCCGACTAGAACATGAACGCGCTCTAAAGTTTGGCTTCACTTTACTAAATGCAACGGGTGATTGGGTGAAGATGAAACCAGCGACAACGATCTAAGTGTGAGGCATCATCGTTTTAATCTGCTCCAGCAGCTAAATAAACTGTTAAAGATAACTTTAGCTTGATATGTTAGCTTCCATTGCCACCGTTGTTATCAGCTAATGGTGCGTTCGCTTTCTCCTCAGAAATTCTAACTTCCCAGTAGGAAAAATCAAATGAAAACGGACAGTAAAAGGAATGAAGACACACAGTAAATTTAGTTCACAGTAAAGATGTTTGCTTCAGTTTAATTATCAGCTTATAAAACTACAAGGACGATGTTAAAATACAAACAGTTGTATGTTATTTATCGTGATATTTATCAAATATGGTTATATATTGAGAAAAATATATATTTAGTTACAAAAGAGAATTAAAATAATAAACACTCAAAAGTATCGAAAATTGGTACTGTTAAGTACCGGTATCGATTCCTAGGTACCGGGAATTAGTAACGGTTCGATTCAAATGTCAAAGGTACCCATCCCTACTGGACGCTAAACCACCAACAGCCTTCAAGTCAGGAAAAACTTCAGACAAGATGGACGAGTCCATAAATGTTTAGTGTCAGTTCGACGTAGATCTGTCAGGATTTTTTAATCCTAGAGTTTCTCCATCTATTTTCTATCAGAAGCTAATGCAGGAGATAGGTGTAGGAGACTATTTTTGTGTTAAGCCTGCATGTTCATCTCAGAGTGACTCATTGTAATCAGGAATAGTCAATAAAAATGGTTTTTCAGTGAAGTTGACCTTTTAGGTCGTTCGAGGCTACCACGGGGCAAAGCTTTGCGCCTATTTCAACCAATGTGTTTTTGTTTTTAAACAGGTCCAACCTAATGGGCACCAAATTTACAGTGTATGATAATGGCACCAATCCCAGTAAAAACCTCGGGGCACTGCTGGAGGACAGCACCATGAGGCAGGAGCTGGCCGCTGTCTGCTACGTTAGTGGATAACAAAAGCTGGAATTGTTTTGAAATTCTCTTCTTCAGGTCAGTTTGCCACATTCTCTGTCTCTTTTTGCAGGAAACCAATGTGCTGGGATTCAAAGGGCCGCGTAAAATGACGGTTGTCATCCCTGGCATGAACATGACCTTTGAGCGAGTTCCAGTACGGCCTCAAAATGTGAGTCTGGCGCTTAGCATGGCGGGTCTCCGAGCAAAGCCTATAAAGCGCTGGGGAAGACCCTGGCTCTGCTGATCTTCTTGTAGCACACACACACACACACACACACACACACACACACGCACGCACGCACACACGCACGCACGCACGCACGCACGCACACAAAACACGCACACATACTCACACACACACACGCACACACACTCTCCACACACACACATACACGTGCACACACACACACACACACGTGCGCACACACACGTGCGCACACACTCTCCTCACACACACACACACACACACACACTCTCTCCACACACACACACACTCTCCACACAAACACACACACATACAGTGGGGCAAAAAAGTATTTATTCAGCCACCGATTGTGCAAGTTCTCCCACTTAAAATGATGACAGAGGTCCGTAATTTACACCATAGGTACACTTCAACTGTGAGAGACAGAATGTGAAAAGAAAATCCATGAATTCACATGGCAGGATTTTTAAAGAATTTATTTGTAAATCAGGGTGAAAAATAAGTATTTGGTCACTTCAAACAAGGAAAATCTCTGGTTCTCACAGACCTGTAACGTCTTCTTTAAGAAGCTTTTCTGTCCTCCACCCATTACCTGTATTAATGGCACCTGTTTGAACACATTATCTGTATAAAAGACACCTGTCCACAGCCTCAAACAGTCAGACTCCAAACTCCACTATGGCCAAGACCAAAGAGCTTTCGAAGGACACCAGGAAAAGAATTGTAGACCTGCACCAGACTGGGAAGAGTGAATCTACAATAGGCAAGCAGCTTGGTGTGAAAAAAATCAACTGTGGGAGCAATTATCAGAAAATGGAAGACATACAAGACCACTGATAATCTCGCTCGATCTGGGGCTCCACGCAAGATCTCATCCCGTGGGGTTAAAATGATCATGAGAACAGTGAGCAAGAATCCCAGAACCACACGGGGGACCTGGTGAATGAACCTGCAGAGAGCTGGGACCACACTAACAAAGGTCACCATCAGTAACACACTACAATGGCAGGGAATCAAATCCTGCAGTGCCAGACGTGTTCCGCTGCTGAAGCCAGTGCATGTCCAGGCCCGTCTGAAGTTTGCCAGAGAGCACATGGATGATACAGCAGAGGATTGGGAGAATGTCATGTGGCCAGATGAAACCAAAGTAGAACTTTTTGGTATAAACTCAACTCATCGTGTTTGGAGGAAGAAGAATACTGAGTTGCATCCCAAGAACACCATACCTACTGTGAAGCATGGGGGTGGGAACATCATGCTTTGGGGCTGTTTTTCTGCTAAGGGGACAGGACGACTGATCCGTGTTAAGAACAGAATGAGTGGGGCCATGTATCGTGAGATTCTGAGCCAAAACCTCCTTCCATCAGTGAGAGCTGTGAAGATGAAACATGGCTGGGTCTTCCAACACGACAATGATCCCAAACACACCGCCCGGGCAACAAAGGAGTGGCTCCGTAAGAAGCATTTGAAAGTCCTGGAGTGGCCTAGCCAGTCTCCAGACCTCAACCCCATAGAAAATCTGTGGAGGGAGTTGAAAGTCCGTGTTGCTCGGCGACAGCCCCGAAACATCACTGCTCTCGAGAAGATCTGCATGGAGGAATGGGCCAAAATACCAGCTACTGTGTGTGCAAACCTGGTAAAGACCTATAGTAATTGTTTGACCTCTGTTATTGCCAACAAAGGTTATGTTACAAAAAGTATTGAGTTGAATTTTTGTTATTGACCAAATACTTATTTTCCACCCTGATTTACAAATAAATTCTTTAAAAATCCTGCCATGTGAATTCATGGATTTTTTTCACATTCTGTCTCTCACAGTTGAAGTGTACTTATGATGTAAATTACTGACCTCTGTCATCATTTTATGTGGGAGAACTTGCACAATCGGTGGCTGACTAAATACTTTTTTGCCCCACTGTATATATATATTCAGTGCTCAGCATGGATGAGAATACCGCCTTTAAAACATACAAATTTAATCAGTAGCTCAATGAACAAAAGAACAATGTCCAGAATTTGAAATTAAGGTTAATAATATAACTTAGATCACAAAATCTTCAGTTTTACTAAAATTGGTTAAAAATGAAAACACCCCACAACAAACACTACTACATCTAGTATTTTCTATGACCAGCATGTTTTTTATGAGAGCACCAAGTCTTCTAGGCATGGAATGAACAAGATGGCGACATATTGCATCATCTATCTTTTTTCGTTCTTCTAGAAGAACCTCTTTTAGAGCCTGGATGCTGGATGGAGAGTGACGCTCAACTTGGGTTCAGATCAGGAGACATATTTGGCCGTTCAATCACCGTCACCCTGTTCTTCTTCAGAAATGCAGCAGTAGCTTTGGATGTGTGTTTTGGATCATCGTCGTGTTGGAAAAGTGCACGACGACCAAGCGCACGGAGGGATGGCAGCATCTTCTCCTTCAGTGTAGAGCAGGTCATTGTTGAGTTCATGATTCCATCAATGAAATGCAGCTCCACAACACCAGCAGCACTCATGCAGCCCACATAAGGACACCGCTACCACCGTGCTTTACTGTAGGCACCATGCATTTGTCTTTGAAATCCTCACCTTTACGACTCCACACAGTTTTAAAACCGTTAGTTCCAAAAACAGAGATCTTTGTGTCATCACTCCAGAGCATAGAGTCCCAGTAGTCTTCATCACTTTCAGCATGGGCCCTAGCAAATCCTAGGTGTGCTTTTTGTGCACGGGCTTTAGGAGAGGCTTCCTTCATGGACGATACCCATGCACCCCATTCCTCTGCAGTGTGTGCCGTATGGTGTCACAGGAAACGGCCACTCCAGTTTGGCTTTCCACTGCTGTAGCTTACTGCAGTGAACTTGCATGGGGATTTTCTTTAACCCTTCTCATCAGAAAAAAACTGTCAAGATGTTAACTTCTGTGGACGGCCTGGACATCTTTGTAAGATGGTTGCACTTCCATCATTCTTAAACCTTTGGATCACTTTTGCTACAGTGTTCTGACCGATATGTAAAGCTTTGCTGATCTTCTCGTAGCCCTCACCTTTTTTGTGTAAAGAAATTATTTCCTTTCTCAGATTTTGATACATTTCTCCTCCATGTGGAGCCGTTGCTGACAGCTTGAAATAGGAAGGGCTTTTCTTTGGCTCTTGGAGGGTGCAGACGCTTTTTTCCTCCTCTCCTCCATATCTCATCCTCAAGGCCTTTGTCTGTCTCTGGGTGCTGGGTGCACGGCTGCTTCTGCATTTTTCTGGAAACTGGAAACTGAAATACATTTAAATGGATCTCGTTAGTTGGTCTCAATGCGATTGATAAAATGTTTTCAACGATGAGAACGGAAGAAGGGGCTCCCGGATGCCCTGCCGATACAGACCCAGTTGGACACATCATGGACTCCTGGAAACAGTGAAACCTGATTTGTTTAACTCAGCTGCCTGTGGAGGACTCGGAAGACGTGTGGATACTCGTGGTGTTGGTGTCGGGTTTCCTGCTCATTGGCCTTGGAGGCTACCTGGCTTACCGGAAAATTAACGAGCTGTCGAGGAATATTGGCCGGATCCCGGAGCTCAGAGATGGATTGCACCACACTGTGAATTCACAGACTCACATAATTGTCTAGATGAATCGTAAGCTTGGGACTTTGGCCGAGATTCATTCGTTGGCACAAAAGATGGATGCCATCAAGGAGAGAGTGGACGAATCAGCACGGATTGGGATAGATTAACGTCCATTATTGGCATTCGGAGAGGTGAGGTCCAGCAACAAACTGTAAGACAGAGAGGAAATTATCTCTGTCTGGCCCCAAAACAATTTCTAATCAGAATCTGGCGTCCTTGAGCCTGCAAGGCTCCAACGAAAACTCCCCCCTCAGAAGAGATGTGGAATGTGCCGTCACTATGGCAACTCAACTCTGCCTCCTTTCCCAGCCTGGGCGGGACAGCAGGTAGGCCGCTGAAGCATCCAGGGTCATTGCAACAACCAACCCTAAATGCTAACCCCCTATCCACTCTGAGGTGACATGTGCTGTTTACCGTGGCTGCAGGAACTGAAGCGGGTATAGTCCCAACCCACCACCCCACCTAGTGGACACTTCTGTTCTGTTGTCTGAAGTCTGTTGCATATATGTCTGAGGTGGGTTTTTAATTTTTTGCAGAGCAAAGCTGCCCTCCTGCTGGAGGGTAACTCTGAAGTGCCTCTTTTTTTCCCTCCACCTGAACCAATCCTCATGTAACCCTCTTATCTCTATCAAGGTAGCGTGACTCAGGGTTGCGAATGACCACAGTCACCAATTCTTGTCATGTGTCTTGCCCATGTATGACTAATCTCTGAATTGTGTGGACTGAAACTCTAATTTCCCTCTGGGATTAATAAAGTATCTTTGATTTGATTTGTTAGTAATGCCCTTTTATGGTCACCTGTCTGCTGGACACCTCTTAAACGAACCATCAGACTCAGCTGTGGTTGAATGTCTTTTAATTCTAATCAATAGTCTTGAGTGTGGCTTTTCTCCTAAAACTATAATTGGGTGTACTCATTTTTGCAACATGGGCTTGAATGGATTTACTTTTTTTGTGTGTGAAAATGAACAAATCTTGTTTGCAATCGATGGCCCACACGAGTGGGAGTATTTAGTAGTTTGGTAGCTCATAGAAAATGTTGTTTCTGAGAGGAAACTAGAGGTTTTCTGACAGATGTAGTGGGGTGTACTCATTTATGCTGAGCTCTGTATATGCTAGTGCCAGAAGACGATTCCCCCTTTAGGAGATGAAGGGTCCCAGGAGAATATATTCTAACAAATGTGTAAAATTGCTTTAACATTTCATCGCTGATGGCTTTTGCGTGTTTGAAACATGTCCGTAACCATTAGAGAGAGTTGATTAAAGTCATCGGATGTTCTCTGGGCAGGAACAGGAGAGCCTCGTGAGCAGGTGGCAGAATAATTCAATGGACAACCTGATTGAGTTGCACAACAAAGCCCCCGTGTGGAATGATGACACCCAGTCCTACGTGCTGAACTTCCACGGCCGTGTAACACAAGCTTCGGTGAAGAACTTTCAAATTGTCCACGACAATGACCGTGAGTGCACTTTCTTTTCATGGTTTGTGCTCCAGTTGTTTATCAGCCGCTGACTCTTTGCCCTCTTTCATCCCAGCTGACTACATAGTCATGCAGTTTGGCAGAATCGCCGAAGACATCTTCACCCTCGACTTCAATTACCCCATGTGTGCCCTGCAGGCTTTTGCCATCGGCTTGTCGAGCTTTGATAGCAAGTTGGCCTGCGAGTAGAAGACTGTTTTTCCTCCCCTCGTGCAGTTTTACAGGGATTGCTTCTGTTAGTAGTTTACCCACTTGTGTGCAGTGTATTTCTAAATGTGCACAAGCGTGCAGGTTTAAAGGGACGCCCAGCAGTACAGGAGGCAGTTGCTCTTCTGAGACTCAAAGTGCAAAAGCGAGCAACGTTTTGTGAAATGAATCTGTGTTCATTTTCTTTTATCCAGTTTTTTCTTTTCTCTAAACAGCCTGCAGAATTAACAGCTCTGAAATAGGTAGCATGGCCTCCCCTCTGGCGCCACCTGCAGGCTAAAATCTAGATATCTTGTGACGTGAGGAACTTTAACAGTCTAAATGCATCTGTGAGGTTTTAATCCTTGTTTTTACATTTTCAAATGTGGCTGTAAAACAAATATTTGGCACGAGTCTGTCATTATTTTTATCCTTTTCTCATTCATCCTTGTGTCAAAGGAGTTCATGTGTGTGTGTGTGTGTGTGTGTGTGTGTGTGTGTGCGTCTAGAAAGGGTGTTTTTGTGAGTAACTATGTTTTTGCAGCTGTGATGTTCCTTTTGTTTTTGTATTTTGTTGTTGTTATTGAATTACTACAAAAACAAATGCAGAATTGCACATTTTATGATCAAGAAAACACGTGTTGTATGTAACATGTTACATATTGCCTTGTTTGTTTGTCACATTTATTAATATAGAAAAATTCATCTCAAGAAAGGATTTAAACATTTTTGTCCTAAAGTTAAGGATCAAACACTAAAAATGCTCTCATTAGTTTGGTATATATATATATATGAATATATATATGAATATATATATATATATCTATGTATATACATATATACATATATACATATATATATATATATATATATATATATATATATATATATACGTATATACATATATATATATACATATATATATACATATATATATATATATATACTGTATACATATATATACATATAAATACTGTATATATATATATATATATACATATATATACTGTGTATATATATATATATATATATATATATATATATATATATATATATATATATATATATATATATATATGTATAAATCACCCAGGACTATATTTTTATGAAGAGAAACATTAAACTCAATTAAATCTTTAATAGGTTTTCAATGAATGAACTGAGAAGAATGTATGTTGTCTTGTTTATAATGGATTTTCCTGCAGTGATGTCAACACTTTTTAAAACAAGTCCAACTTCTATGATGGGAAACTGTTTTACAAAACTCCAGTCAGTAGTTTGTGACCCCTCAGAACAAGAATAGTTTTCAGGTGCTTTTATTTTGAAGGTTTTTATAGCTTTCGTGTATTCAAACAGACAATCCTGATGTTACAAATATTCAAACATCGCTTCTTCGCTAAAGTCGATTAAAACCCAAATCTTATGCAGTCTTGAATCGTGCAATTGAGTTTTGATAAAGATTAGCAGAAGTAAATAATTTCAAACGTTTCCTTACTGCGAAAGACTTTTGTGAAACTTTTTCCAGTCCCAAAATTCGACAAAACAGTTTAGATCAGACGGCAGGAGGAAGGGAAGACTAGTTTTGGTGTTTCTTCTGTAAATAACCTCAATAAAATCACTTTGAAGTATAAATCTATTTTTCTGACTGATTTAATCTTCATTTTGTGGATTTCGTGTAAACAACCTCTTTGTGGATTTGATCGGTGGCACGGGTGACACCTTTGCCTTTGTTAGACGACGTAGAGCGTGAGAAGCCTTGAGCTGAACAATGGCAAAGCCTGCTTTCATTTAGAGGCTAAACGACTGGATTCTTTCTGCTAACTCATTGCACTGGTGCAGAAATCAGGAGATTGTGATAAATGATAAATGACCTGCACATGTATAGTCCCAGGAGGACCTGCAGCTCACACTTCCTGGACACTGGGAGGCTGATGAGGCCATTTCATTTGAAAGACGTATTCAATGATACCCAGAGCTGGTTCTGTGGCGAAGCGCTGCAGGTGTGAGGGCTACGCCATGCTGGATGGGGGTAGCCCTGATGCGGCAGCTTCTGGGAGGTTGATGCTTATGTCAGCAGGGACATCAGTCAGATCTCTGGTTATGGCGACCAACTTCCTCTTTAAATGTTACCATTTGGATCAGGTGAGTTGGAGCAATAAACCAATAAAACAAGCCCTAGACTTTGTCATAGGCTTCTAAAATATATAAAACACCCTTACAACTAACACAGACAGACCCAGCTTATGTGTTTATTCATTGTACACAAGAAGGGTGATTGGTTCAGCACTTTAAGGCGTAATTAGCCTTACTCAACTAGAAAAGAGGGCATGGACTAGCCTGTATTATTTAGTCTGGCCACGCTCCATTGACGGCTCTCGGTTGTGGGGCGGGTTCTACCGTTGTCTTTCAAATGATCTCTGCATGCAACTGGACAATGAATGTGACATACTCTTGTTTCACTCTGTTGCATCATCCCACCCACCAGGCATATAGAGTGCCCTGATTGGCCCACAAAGCGGACAAAGCTCTGTGATTTGTTCACTAAGCAGATAGAGCACTATGACTGGCCCACCATTATGGACCAATCACAGCTCTTTATGTGTTTGAAACCCCTCTAGAGAGCTGTGATTGGCCAGCCAGAGTCCTGGTAGGAGCTGCGGAGGTTTCAATGGAGCGTGCCTAGACCAAACTTTGCAAAGCAAGAATTTGGTCTAGCTCACTAGGCTAGTCATGGACATGATATTTAACGGTCTGCAAACGCTAAACAGCAAGAGCTCAGGAGGTAGAGCGGGTCGTATGATGATCAGAAGGTTGCAGGTGTGTGTGTGTGTGTGTGTGTGTGTGTGTGTGTCTGCTCTGTCTTCTCCATCCCCAGTGAGTCGTGGTGGATGGCTGCTTATACTGAGCCAGGATTCTCTGGAGGTTTCTTCCTGTTAAAAGGGAGTTTTCCTCTCCACTGTCGCTAAATGCTTGCTTAGTATGAGGATTGCTGTAAAGTCACTGACACTAGTCAGTGACTTGAGGCAATCTGCTGGGTTCCTTAAATAGGAAACATTTCTGATTGGCTTAATGAATTGACTTGAATTGGAATGTTTATTATGAGAAGTGCCTTGAGACGACTCTTTTCGTGATTTGGAGCTATATAAATAAACTTGAATTGAATCCCAGCTCCCACCAGAGAATGCTGCTGTTGTGTGGCAGTCCTCACATCTGTCAGTGTGCCCCAGGGCAGCTGTGGCTACATTGTAGCTCATCATCACCAGCGTGTGAATGGGTGACTGACACATTGTGTTGTGAAGCGCCTTGGGGGGGTTGTAGAACCTTTACCTTTTAAACTTCCACCGGGAGGACTGGGACAGTGATGATTAGCTGGGGTGAAAAAAAATGGCGCCTTGTTGTGAGATTTCATTATCATCTAGATTTGTGAGGAAAATTACGCAATGACCTCCCAAAAGACCCGCAATTAAAAGGTGTTCTGACCAAAAAAAAAAAAAAAAAATGGGGTTATTGATTTAATTTTCCAATCCTGTCTCATTAACAAGCACGCTCAAACTCGTTCCTACGACCAGTTTAGGACCCAAAACTCCACCTGCTGTTTGTTTTATGACCGACAGGAAATCTAAGTAACCCATCACGCAAGCTCCACTCAGAAAGTTTGATTTCTTTCTGAAATGTTTTAACAACACAGCTTGCGCTTCATTTAGGATCACTTTATTAGCATACAACTAAGAGTAAGAAGCAAAACATTCCTTCACACCAGCAAATCAGATGTTCACACAAAAACCAGAGCAAATGCATTAAACCTCGGAGAATCAAAAAGTGTCGCGTGATTAGAGGACGGTGTTTAAAATTATGCAGTTGGATTTAAAAAGCCAACCTGTTTGAAATACTCTGCAACATTTAGGGAAACTTCCACTGGTCGGACGGCCAGAGGACACTTCTGACAGCCCACCCAGAGGTAGGGAAACATGGCCTCGGTGACGCTGTGTTTGAAGGTGTAGATGTGTGTGTTGTTGTGAGGATCGTCGAAGGACACCCTGCCCTCGTCACAGTCCAGCAGCACTCTGATCCTCTGCGGGTTCCTTTTCAAGCCGAGCCGTGTCAGAGGAGACGTGCCGGCGAAGTACATGTTGTGGTAGAAGTACACACACAGGTAGCCGTTTTTCAGGACTGAGTTGACTTTCTCTTTCCTCTTGACAGATTCCTTGGCCACGCCCACAACCCACGCTGTGTTATCACCAACGTCCACCTCCCAGGAGTGCCTCCCGGAGGTCAGGCCCTCTCGGCCCAGGATGGCCGTGTCGGGGTCGAACCTCTCCGGGTTGTTGGGCAGCTTCTGCTTCTCGTCGCTGTCACAGATGCTGGTGAGGTCGTCCGACAGGACGAGCCAGGGGGCGGCAGTGTTGGGATCCAGGGTGACTGGATCTGCGGAAAACAAGGCAGGGTGTCAGCTTTTCTCACAGGAAGTTGTGAACTGCGGTGTTTTCTATGATAAAATGTGCAGAAAGAGGTATAAACTCACTGTATCTGGCAATCTTTTGCATCTTCTCCCACACTTGGAAAGATAAAGAGCCAATGTGTTTGGCTACATCTATAAGAACTCCTGAAGCCATTACCGGATCTTGAACTGGAATATTCGCCCTGCAGGAAACAGAAGCAAACCGTTTAAAAATACTTTAAGGAAATTAAAAGTTTTCCAACAGAAATAAATCCATTTACCTTTCTAGTGTTCTCCCGCAGTTCTGCAAACAAACAAAAACAATCTACTTTAGGACTTGAAAGTAACATTAAATATCAAGTTTACTAATATTGCTGTTACATGTGTGGTAGCCTCTAGTAGGAATTAATGCTTCAAGTCATTCTCTGGAGGAAGAAATAAAGCTCCGGTGCACCTGATTGAGGACGTAGCTTCAGACGACAAGATTTGCACTCTTACTTCCTGCTATTTGGACATCTCGCCTCTGATTGGCTAATGGCTACACGACTCTACCATCGACTCGGTTTGCTCTGCGATGTTGATATTTTATCTCCTCCACAAATAACACAAGCCTGAAGGAGTTCTGCTGTGTGGTGGAGTTGCTAATGGTAACGGTTAGCTTCTGCTTGTGAACACGTCCTCTGCTGTTTCCTGGATGCTGAACCGACAACCGCCTTCGCCGTCGTGAGTCACGACGTAGATCTGTCAGGATTGTCTAATCCTAGAGTTTCACCGTCTGTTTTCTATCAGAAGCTAATGCGGGAAAAAGGCGTAGGAGACTATTTTCATGTTGAGCCTGCATGTTACACTCAGAGTGACGGATTATAATCATAAATACAGATTTTTACTTAGCGTAGACGCACACGAAGGACAGAGATGTCCTCCTGAGACATCTCCTCCTCCAAAACTCGGATGGTTTCAGACACTCGTGACACGTTCGTCTCGAGTTCCTCCATCTTCCGTCTCATCTCTGCAGTCTTCTGCTCCTCCTCGCTCCTCAGCGCTTCCATCCTGGACTCCTCCTCCACGCGAAGGAAGGCGTGGAGCTTTTCAAACTCCTCGTGGGTCCGTCTTTCCACAAACCGAGTCTGGACCTGAAAGACAGCCTGCTTTAGGCCGGGCTCGGAGACAGGAGTCAAAACACCAGCGAGTGACGCGTCCCGCACCTGAATGTGCGTTACGGTGTCCTCGTAGTTTTTCTTCATGTTTTCAAACGATTCTTTCTTCTCTTGCAACGAGCTCAGAGCAGACAGCAACTTCTCCTGTGAACATAATAAAAATCTTATTTCTGAAAACCATCAGAGTGAAAACAGGTTGGTTTTCTAGCCTTACCTTCACATCTACTACAGCCTCACTAATTGGACAGCAGTCATGCTGCTTGTGTTTCCTTGATGTGTGGCAGACCACACAGATGGGCTCCTTGTCCAACAAGCAGTACAGTTTCAGCTTCTCCCCATGGAGGGGGCACAGCTCCCCTGGATCACAGTACAGCTCCCCCCCTGACCCCTCCACATCCTGACTCTCTTCCTGCACATAACACTCACACAGGTTCTTCAGGGTGAGACTGGGGATGGGATCATCCAGATTCTGGGTTCGACAAAGGGGACAGTCGCGTCTTCCTCTTTTTCCAGTCCAGTACTGCTGCAGGCAGGGCCCGCAGAAGCTGTGGGTGCACTTGAGGACCACTGGGTCCCTGAAGATGTTGCAGCATATTGAGCAGGTGAGCTCCTCCTCTGGGAGAGAGAGCCTGGCCGCCATACTTAACACTTCACTTGTGTTTGCAGAGCAGACAGCAGAAGAATTACAGGAAATGCACAGAAGCTCGCATGCTGCTGGTCAGCTGATAACTGGCTGCAGATCTCTGTTTAGAAACACCTCCCCAGGCTATTCTGGGTCTGCACACAGCTGACATAAGTGCGTACTTAGCTGAGATCACTTCCTGCTTTGCTGAGTCACTCCAAGGAGGAGGAGTCAAGAGGCAGGAAATGTTTTAACCTCTTACTCCCCCTTTTCAGCTCGTTCAGCCTACAGAAAGGCACCAGCAGCTCAGTTCTACTAGAACAGCTGCAAATGCATTCAAAAAGATCTGCATTCACAATTATTTATGTGCTAAAATCTAAAAACACTTTATTATCCCAAAAAGTGAATTAATGTGCCCAATACTTTTTTTCATAACTTTGAATTGTTTTTGACGCAGTTTGAATACAAAATAATAAAAAACAAGTACAGCAAAAATAAAAATAAATAAAGGTGTCTGAAATACACACGGTCTATTTGCACCAGATAAAGAACAAAAACATGACTCACAAATACAAAGATTGGATATTTTAACTGATTTCTTTTCTGTCTTTTTAATGAAAAACATTAGTAAGAGCAGTTTTTGCAGTCTTGCTCTTCCATCTTTTGTTTTCTTCCACGCATTTTCATGATATGCATGTATTTTGTTTCAGTCATTTTGCAAAACACTTGTTTGTGGGAGAGAACCTGATCATGCAGGGAAACGTCACACATGTGTGAGGAAAACACGCAAACTCCAAACTGTATGTCTGCAGTCAGCATTTGAACCTGCAACCCTATTTGCTGCAAGGCAACAGTGCTACCAACTCTGCTACCAACTCAGTTGATTTCTGACGAGTAACTGTTCATTTTGTTGTAGGACTAGAATGCTCCTCACAGTCTCTGCATGTTCATATCAGAGCAGAAAACGTGTCTCTTCTTTGTTTATCGTTGCTCTTAATGCTGCAGTAGGAACAGACAGAGCAGATTTGTTTTATTTTGTTGCTTTCTGCAGTCATTGCAGGGTGATAAAACACACACTCAGCTCAGACAGCTGCATCCGTTTATCTTTATTTAGCATTTTCCTCCACTTGGAGTCCAAACCTCCAACCATCACCAAAAGCAGCGTTCTGGTTTTGATTGTGGCCGTTGCTGAGCTGAAGCCTGATAAACCTGCCGTGTTTCTCAACCCGGCCTCTGATTTCAGCCCCGGACCTCTCACCAGGTCACCGCCACAATCACTCCAGTTATGGGTTGCAGACGCCATGAAAAAAGAGCAAATGATGATTTACAGCAAGCGAGCACACTCAGCGTTACTCCATGCAGCATTTACTGAAACATAAAGAGCTGTTTAAGTTCAGAGAGAAGCAGCTGGAAACTAATGTCTGCAAGAAAACAGCAAAGCTGCAGAATGGTCCCAAATGTGAGCAACAAAAATAGCCTCAGGAGTCAGGCTGTGTTGTGCACAGATTTTATGCAGCCAGAACATACTGTTTTCATCAAATAGCACTTTATCTTTAATGCAGCGTTTCAATCTTCATCATTAGATTCACTTACACCTAAATTATATTTGATTCATTGCATTCAGATGAACTAATACCTCAACTTAGGAGCACAGCCACTTCATTGGAGAAGCTGCTGCTTCCCACATCACAATTTAAAGTGACAGTGTGTATTATCCCTGGCAATAGGGGGCAGTAGATACCTAAATCATTGCAAGCAAGCAGTATTTTTGTGTTCAAATAAGACCGTACCAACGGATGGCCATTAGGGTCAAAAATCCCCGGGAGTGCAACCTCCAGCTAAATGACTAGAACATCAGATTTCCTTTCCTCACTGGCAACGAGTGAAGAGGTAAATGTGTTAAACAGCGTTCATTATTAGTGAAAGTTTTGTAACCGTTTGTTACAAATCAGCAAATGTGTTTGGCCTAACAGGCTTCCGTAGAAGGAAACATGGCATCCAAATTGGCATCGCCCTGAGACTTATAGCTCTTTTCCATTGCCAGGTCTGGAATGGCCCGGTCTGGTTATTTTTAGACTGGTGTGTTCCGCTGTGGTCTGGAATTTTCAGACGAGCGTTTCGATCGCAGTTTGAGCCACCACGTCGGCAGGCGGGGTTAAACGAACCATCAAAGTTATGAAACTATTCAGTATTTCTGCGCTGCAACAAATGGTTTACAGCTAAAACCAAAAACACCTCCACATGTGACTCCAGAAGCCTGCCTCGCTGCGTCGGCGATAAATAGCATCCAGCTCGTCGTAGCAACTCCGTGTATTTCTCCCAAATGAAAAAAAAAATCCACCTCGGCTGTTTCTGTCCTTAACTATTAACTCTATTGGGCTTTAATTTCCTCATCTTGGCCCGACACTGAGCTGACGTCCGCTTTGATCCTTCGGCTGCCATCCTCTGAGGAAAAACCACCAATCTATCTAGCCCCTCCTGTGGACTCGCGATGACGGTGAGAAATGTATGGAACTCTGAGGGTGACCAAAACTTGCTGCCACTTGCTGCAACTTTTTCACATTCATGCACAGCTAACAAAAACACAAACCGCAGAACTCTTGTTTGTTTTCCTTGTTGCAAGTAGTGATGCATTTCTGTCAACCAATCAGGAGACTGTGTTGTTGCTCCACCCTAACCGTACCACTCCTGGAATTTCTGGACATACAACAGAAGGGAGCCCTAAAAGTCCCTTGACTGGCGCGGTCCAGGTCGGTTGTCTGGACCAGTTTTACAATCAGAACAGAAAAATTAGCAGAGGTGTGACCAAGTCACTGCTTTGCAAGTCACAAGTAAGTCACAAGTCTTTCCAGTCAAGTCCAAGTCAAAGACAACCAAGTCCAAGTCGAGTCCAAAAGTCAATGATGTGGAAGTCCAAGTCAAGTCCAAGTCCATAACTTTGAATTTTCAAGTCATATTCAAGTCATCTGTTCAATTTAAGTTTAATGATAATAATAAATATATTCCACAATTAAAGATTCTTAAAGCTTCATTTATTTGCTCCAACAAGCAGAAAGTGCAACTGAAACTGATTATAAACAAAGTGCTGCTGCATTTAGCAGAACAAGATCACACCCAGAACCAAGAATGATTCTTGATTTTTGTCCATGTCGTGCCACTTTTGTGCTAAAATATCAAATATGCTCAAGTCATCATCAAGTCAACAGATGCAAGTCAAGTTGCAAGTTCAAGTACGAGTCAAGTCGTAAGTCTTTATAGATTTTATCAAGTCAAGTCAGAAGTCATTAAAATAATGACTGGAGTCTGACTCGAAGTCATGTGACTCGAATCCACACCTCTGAAAATTAGCGACCAGATTCTTCCCATTCCATGCCAGTTTGGGTGCTGAAAAAGGCCTAGACCCGCTCCCATGTTTGTTAGAACAGATTTTTATGGTTATATGGAGGGCGACGGTGGCACAGGAGTTAAGTGCTCGCCCCGTAATCGGAAGGTTGCAGGTTCGAGCCCCGCTCAGTCTGTCGCTGTCGTTGTGTCCTTGGGCAGGACACCTAACCCACATTGCCTGCTGGTGGTGGTCGGAGGGACCGGTGGCAGCCTCGCCTCTGTCAGTGCGCCGCAGGGCAGCTGCGGCTACATTGTAGCTCATCCCCACCAGTGTGTAAATGTGTGTGTGAATGGGTGAATGACTGATTGTGTTGTAAAGTGCCTTGACCCCGGGTTTCCACAGGAGCCGTCAGCAGCACGTCTTGCTCGCGTAAACTGCTGCTTGGCCCTTCCCACGAGACGCGAAGCAGCAGGGGAGCAGCTGTCACCAACCGAGCACGAAGTCACACGAGTGACTTCGTCAGTAAACACAACAACAAGCAGGAGAAAACTACAACGTGGTTTGTGTTTTATGTTCTGTCCGTTTTATAATCGCCAATATGGACCTGAAAAACAAAGGAGACCGCTAGCTAGGTGATAACTTCTCACGGGGACGCACATTTAGTAACGTTTTTTAAAGTAAAGCAACCGGAAGGCAGTACGTTCTTTATTCTGAAAATCTCGGTAGCTTCTCTCCATTTCCGCGTCCGATTTCCTGTCTTTCCTTCCCCAAAAATGTCGAACTTAACCCGTTTCAGAGGCGTCGCGCGTAGAAAATAGAACCGGCGCGTAAAGGCCGCGACATAATGCTCCTGAGACGCGGCCGACTCGCGCTGCTGACGGCTGCCGACGGCTCCAGTGGAAAAGGTTCTGTTGATCACAGCGGTTCCTATCAGCAGCTATGACGTGCTGCTGCAGTAACGTGCTGCTGACGGCTCCCGTGGAAAGCCGGGGTGAGGGGTTCCAGGACTCTAGAAGGCGCTATATCAAATACAGGCCATTTACCATTTATATGTTATGAAACTGCCAATATCTTTGAACAACTGGGCATCTTTACATTCATTTACAACAACATTTCAATGGATATTTCCATAGATTAATGGTAAAAACTACACATTGTCACTTTGATTAGAAGTCACAATAAAGCTAAATCATACTCATTCTTGCAAGTTGTAAAATGGGAGCATTTGAAAAGATTGACCAGACTGTGGAGCTGGTGAAAAACAAACAACAAAATATAAAAACACTCAAACTTAAACCACAGATGTCTGTTTCACAGATTAGAGTAAAAATCTGCCTTTGAGAAACTTGACACCTTCAAGGAGAAGTTGTACCAACTAAAGCGTTGTTTTGTTCACTAACATTGAGATGTGGGATTTTTGGACACAGAACGAGAAACACAGGTGGCCTGTTTGTCAGCATAAAGGAGATCTCTCAGCAGATGTTGTCTTTCATCGTATACACCTCCTTTTCTAAACAGACGGAGCTCTGCTTCGGCTGGCTGTTAAAACTTTCAGCCTCACTGTGATTCATTAGGACATACTCATCCCACAAGCCTCTTGCCACTTGCCTTTTTAAATTAGGATTGTGACAACCAAAGCTCACTGCGCATTATAATGACTCTATTATACCCGTATGCACTTTATGTGACAAATGGAAAGTGTAATATAGCAAACTATATTTTATTTTTTGCATTTTTTTGATGAAATTCCTTTTTTTCCCTTTGATACATGGTCACCTTGAGTTATAACAATTTTCTACCGCTAGAGGTCAGTATGTCCTTACTTCTAGGCAAAGGGAGCAGAGCACATTTAATGAAAGTTATGCGGAAGAACACACAAATCCTTTAAGTAAACAGAGAGAAAC